ACTTGAAAGTATATGGGCAATCTTGAAGGAAAGTATATGGGCACTTCAATATGCATCGTCGAGCACGAGAATGGGATTAATATAGATAGCGAGGGTAAGATATGGACTCCCCCACCCCAAGGGTGGTGTAAACTAAACTCGGATGGTGCGCGTAAGGAAAATGAGGGCTATGCATCTTGTGGGGGTTATTCGAAACAATGAGGGAGGTTTGCTATTAAGTTTATCAAGATCGATAGACATATGCTTGAAGGTGGAAGAAAAGCTATGGGGGTATTCATGAGGGTCTCATACATGTTCGAAACTTGGGTAGCAGGAAGGTGATTGCAGAAGTGGACAACATGGAAGTTTTTAAAAGAATTCAACAGGGGAAATATCTATACCCCCCAAACACAAGACTAGACAACATTTTCGACCTCCTGAGCAGGGAGTGGACAGTTACATTTCAGCGCGCACATAGAGGCCAACAAAGCGGCGGACAAAATGGCAAAGATAAGAGAAATGGGAAAGTTTTTGTAAACCACTCCATTGCTATCATAGAAACCCTCCAAGAGGACTGTAACACAAGTTACCATTGAATGTTAAGCTAGGCTACTAGCTCTCTTATCACCAAAAAATGATTTTATCACATCTAGATAGAATATTAACGTCCAATTTAGACGGTCGTCAATTTTTTAACAAAAACGGATGAATTTAAAACATATAAATAATCAGGTGACCATTTTATAACTTTTAAAAGTCAAGAAACTCAACCAAATAATATCATATAGTTAGATACTTTTTTTACAACTTTTAATTGTCAGATAATTCAGTAAAGCACCACCATGTAGTTAGGGATTATTTTTGTAATTTACCCTTAAATTTTTACTATGAATCGAAGGTTAAAAGGCAGTAATCATGGACTTAACGTGTGCTGACAAAAACAAGTGTCTGAGTCGACCAAAAGGTAGAGAAAAGACATTTCCTTTTTGGTGATAGGAGCTGGTCAAACAGGTCAGCTTCATAGTCACCTGAAAGCCTACCTTTTAATATTATTAAAAAATTATTCTTATAAGATCGACTTAGAATTCGTCTGGTTTAAATTTCATATTAATTCGTACCATATAAACATTCAATAGATTTGTAGATGATTATTTTGTCCGAGAGTTTCATTCAATTTTCGCTTGTGTTTATATATATATTATTAATTAATTTGAATATTGGGTTAATTATTTAAATTATGTGTGTGGTTTGCATATTATATAGTAATATATTATTATTATTATTATACAATATATATATATATAACCTAGAATTTAAAATAAATATTTAACATGTTATTTACCCAAACCCGAAGTGGCCCAGCTAAAGCAAGCCCGAACCAACAGCAGCCCAAAAATCTAGGGTTTGAGAAACCCTAGGGTTCTCCCTTTCTATCCTCCGTTAAGGATCTCAGCCGTAGGATTAGATTTGATCCAATGGCCCGGATTAATCCAAGCAAGGATTAATCCACGCACTCGGTGCTCCTTGCGCTTTAGTCACACCACCCGATCGAGAGCTACATGTAACTCATTGTCGCGTCCCGAGGACTTCCATCACCACCAAGATGCTCGCCGATCGCCTTAAAACTGATGAAAAGGCCTCGGGTAAACCATTTTACCCCCTGTTTAACCCACGTCACCACCGTTTGGGATAGGGTATTCCGCTGAACTATCATCCTCGATCAACACCCCTAGCATGAAAATAGCTAAACAACAAAAAGAATGAAGGGTCAAACCCTTACCAGAAGCATGCAACAAAAAAAACTAAACAAAAAAGAAGACCTTCTTATATTCTAAGCAAAAATCGGGGAAAGGGGACTTTTTTCAAAAACAAAAAAGGAGAGAGAGAGCAGGCAAAGAAATCGAGAGCATTTTTCGAAAAGAAAAAGAAGGGAGAAGAGATCGGAGAGAAGCACGAACCTTGGTTGTGCACCAGAGCTTTTAAACGTCGTCGAAAAGTCTCAGATCTCAAAGGTAAATACCTAAATCTAGTGTGTTTAATGGGTTTTAGGGTTAAAGGGGTTCGTATATGGGTTTAGGTAAGAGAGAGGATGGTTTTGGGGAGGTTTTCTCAAGCTTCGATCGTCGTGTGCGAAGAGTGGGGAAGAGAGAGAACAGAGGAAAAAAGAATTTTCCCTTTTTGGGGAAAGAGTAAAAATGGGAAAATAAAGAGTTAGGCCATTTTTTGCCATGGTTTCGGGGTTATATACCCCATGTTGCGCGATGTCGTTTTGGGAGGGAAGATTGCGTGTTTCAGCGCATGGATAAACCCCTTTCTGGGTCATTCTAGCTTTGTAAAGTTGCGATTTGGTCACTAAAATTAATTTTCATCTATTTTAATTTGCGTTTTAAGTTTCACTCCGTTTTTGTTTTAGTCACTGCTCACATTTATATATTCTTTGGCCAAATGCTTGACTCAATCCTTAAATTTTAATAATTTTCATTTTAGTCCTAAATGTTGATGATGGTTTATTTACGATTTCATTGCCTAGTTTTTATAATTTTTGCAATGGTTGCCCTAGTCCTTGCTGGTTTTGTTGTTTGATCTTTAAAGTTGTCACATTTTTTTTATTTTGGTCACTTATTTGTTATGTGTTTTAGTTTGTGCACTTTGTATTCTGATTTCCCATGTATTTATGCCATAGTCCGTATTAATTTGTGTCATATATGTAAGTAGCATGTTTTATATATGCTTATATTAAGAATTTAATCAAGTATTATATATGTATGCTATGTGAGTTTTTTTATATTTTGTTTTGGCTCAAATATTATATGCAGATTATATAATTGTTATCATTAAATATGCTTGGGTTAGATTAATATACATATATTAGTATTTTTTAAAAAAATATTATTTTAAAAAATATTAAAAAATATTATTTTGTGCGAATAATTTATGGAGATGCTCCTTAACTAGTAAGGAGTGTGTCTCATCGAAATTGTTCGTACGAAATGGTATGTTCTTATTCGAGTAAGTATTAAATAGATGACAATGTCATTTCGTGAGAGGAGTCATAGAAACACGCCTTAACTCACAAGGAGTGTGTTTCCCAATAATTGTACGAAATGACATCCTTTTGTTACTCGATCATTTTCCGAACATATCAAATATATATCTAATTTATTACAAAGATCAAGGCAATGGTCTTTTATTTGGGGAATCAATGGAAACATGCCTTAACTGGCAAGGAGTGTGTTTCTGAGGATTGTGCGTATAAAAGAATATCATTTCACAAAATATTTAAAGGAGAGGATCATAATTTAAATACCATTCGATTTTATAATTTCCAATATCTAGATGATGTATAATCGCTTAGGTACCGATTTTTGGTGCTGTGGGGTGCTAATCCTTCTCCAAGCGTAATCGACTCCCAAACCCTTTTCAAAATGAGTTTCTGGTTAAATGTATATCACTTTTTATCTTTTAAAATCAGTATTCTTAAAATTATTTTAAATGATATTTTTTAGGTATTCGACCTACCTAATCAAAAGGTCGATGGCGACTCTAAATTTAGTTACATGTACATTTATTTTAAAAAAAATCAATGTTTTACAAAATTAAGTTTGATCGCTCCCTGTCATAGCCCTAAAAAAGCTTAAGGACCGTTCTGACATTTACCTTGTCGTTTTCGAATTGTTCCTTGAGTGAAAATTGAGGACCACGATCCAATTCCTTCTCATATTTCATCGTGCCATCATCCTCATCACCATTGTTGTTGGCTTAAACGTCATCATCACCAAACTTCTTGCTCTTCTCATCTGCATCTCTTCTTTTTCATTTTTTCCCTGGTAACCAATTTGTTTGGAAGCCGAGAAATTTCCTACAACAGCATATGACATTTTTTCTTTCCTTTTCTTTACCTCCTAGGAACCTGCCTCTAAGCAAAGCAGGTTAGTTATCTTGCTGGGATTTGAAAAAGGAAAAAAGAAGCTTCGTATACAAAGTTTGGTTTTGCGGGATGCTGGGCTTGAAATTGTACCAAATTTGTACAAGATGTTGGCAAATATTTTTTTCTATAACCATCGGCTCATTATTCAATTAGTACGAATGGAATATTGTAATGATTTATTATCGCACGGTTCTCAAAATCGAGTTTATTCTATTCATAATCAGTAAATATTTATAGGGGTATAAATGAACAGATTGTTCGGTGAATTGATCGTGAATCGTTCGTATAATATTCATTTATTAATCTGAATAAACGAGTATGAACAAATTTTTTATTTTCATTTGAAAAACGAACGAACACGAACAGAGGTGTGTTCAGTTCATTTATGTTCACGAACAAACTCGTTTATAAGCTAATTTTTATATATATTTTGAATATTAGTGAAAGGCATATACTAAATTGAATATATCATGAAAATTTGAGTTTAAACTATGAAACTTAAGAAGTTTAAGTACTAATTTTGTAGTTTTACCATTTTCCCTATAACACACAAAAAACCGTTTACCCGTCCCTATCTTTTCTCTTTTATTCTAAAACAACATATTCGTGGACGATAAACGAATATGTTCATGAATATTAAATAAATACGTTCGTAAATATTAAATAAACGAATACGAACCAAATATGAATACCTTAAAAAATAAATAAACGAACACGCATACAATCTAATTGATTTAAATTCGATTCATTTACACCCGTAAATATTTATTTGTTCACCTTGAAATTCAGATATTCTTAAATTAATTAATTATTTTATTAATTACGATCACCTTAAAATTTTATTTATACACTTTAAAAAAATATTTTTGTCTTCACCCGGATTGAGTTAGATTTTTATCGACCCGACCGAACTCGAGAAGCATATCCTAATTCGAATTTGACCTGAGTTTAAAAATTCACATCCGACCTAAAATAATAAAATTTAATGGGTTCGATTGGTTAAATCATCTTAGCCCATTAGCCCAAAGCCTAATGTAATAAGGGACCAAGCCAGGTGGTTCTATTCTCCCGGTTTGCCTACATTTTGCCAATTTTTTTTTTTCACTTTATGATTCTCACTTGGCTTAACCTGCTTCACGAAAATTCTTCACTTTCCTCAGAACACAACCATTTTCACGGCATTTTGTTCTAATTTGCTTCCAGTTTTCTTGCCCCAAGCATTCTTTCACCACACCCTTTGATGGAATGTTCATGTGAAAGTTGTTATCTCTGAGCTAAAAACAGTGCTCTCTACGTGTTTGATTTTATGCCTCAAAGAGTTTCGCTTGTTGTTACTACCATAACCTCCACTTGAAAAAGGTCTATAGAGCGACCATGTTGCTCTCTGTCTCTTGCCAAGGCGGCAATGTCCTCAGCTCCAGCTTCCTTCAATCACCAAACCCATCTTTCATTACCCTTGGGAAAAACAAAACGAGCTTTCAAAACGTTTATGGTAAACCCCGGAGTTCGTCTCTTTCGGTTTCGTGTTCTTCTATCAAAATTGTTCGAAGTGCTCCACTAGACAAACACGTAGTGAAGCAGAACAAAATCCGTTTCGTTCAAAAGCTGAAAACTTTGCTGCTTTCCAAGCCGAAACATTTCATTCCGATCCACATTCTCGCTAAATGCCGTGCTTACCTTTGTGTGGACAAGCCTCGTTCCATTCTCTCGATGATCTATCGGTACCCGACGATTTTTGAGCTCTTTACGATCCCCATGCCGGAGACTCCGTTAAACGCTACGAAATCGGGATATCAGCTTTGCGTTCGTTTAACTCCCGCTGCTAAATCCATCGCTATGCGAGAATTGAGTCTTAAGTCTGCTATGTCAGGTTTCTTGGCAAACAAGTTACAGAAACTTCTCATGCTTTCTTCTCACCGTCGGCTTCTTTTGTCTAAGCTTGTTCACCTTGCTCCACATCTCGGGTTATCTCCGAATTTTCGGTCCCGTCTTTGTAATGATCATCCGGATAAGTTTAAGGTTGTAGATACCTCGTATGGCAGGGGACTTGAGCTTGTGGATTGGGACCCTGAGTTAGCTGTTCCAATGAAATCTCCTCCGATGGACCATGGGTTGATTGTCGATAGGCCTTTGAAGTTTAAACAATTGAAACTCCGGAAAGGGCTGAATTTAAAGCGACGACACCGGGAGTTTTTGATGAAGTTCGATGAAGTGCCCGATGTTTGTCCTTATAATTCGTCTCTGGAAGACTTTGCAATGTCATTCATTGAGGCTGAGAAAAGAGCTTGTGGAGTAGTGAGAGAGGTGTTGGGGATGATGGTTGAGAAGAGGACATTAATAGACCACTTGACACATTTCAGGAAAGAGTTTGGGCTACCGAACAAGTTGAGGGCAATGATTGTTCGACACCCGGAGTTGTTCTACGTGAGTTTGAAAGGCATGAGGGATTCGGTTTTCTTAGTCGAAGGGTTCAATGACAAGGGAGTTCTTTTGGAGAAAGATGAAAGTTTAGTGATAAGAGATCAACTGATGGCATTAGTCGCCGAAGGTAAACAGATTCGACGTGAGAAAAGGAAAGCTAGAATTTACGGTGCAATCGATGGTGACCATGATAGCAACGACAACGTTGAAGTTGAAGATGCCGATTATGACGACAGTGATTACGATGATGGATTTGAGAATCTGTTCAATTCTGAAGATTCGGACCTTGATTACGATTTTCACGACGATGATAGCGGGAGCAGTATGTTGTATGCTAATGGAGCAAATGCAGAGTTTTGGACTGCTGATTTCCCCTTTGCTTCCAATAGGAATTCTGGTGATGACAATAGAGATTCAGAACCTTGGTAACGATGAATGATGGTGCATGCTGTACATATTTGTAAGTAATTAAGGGTGAACGAGACACTTGTGCTCACAAGCTATTCGAGTTTGTCTCGAAAGAAATTTGAATTTGATCCGATCATTGTCGGGTTGAGTTCGAGCCATTGTGTTGAATTGATATATGTTAATATTTGATTCGAGTAGTTTGTGAGTTTATTCAAATCTTTTATTCTTAATTTATATTAAAAACTTAAAATTATACTCCGATTCGATCTCAAATAATCGAGCCCTATATCAATCATGAGAGTTGAACACATTTTTACAATGTAAACGAGTTTAATTGAGTGACATCAATAATTTGATTTTTAATTAAAAAATAATAAAAGTATAATTAGTTTTCAAATTATCTTTATACGTTGTCTAACTAAACTCTAATTGAGTTCTATTTTATTTCATTTATTTTAAATTAATAACTATTATTTAATATATTAGTGATATAGTTATTTTTCACTGTCATGTATTCTTAATTAATATTTAAAATAAATAATTCCAGTCGGATTAAAATCAAAATAAAAGAAATATATATTTACATGTAGAAAAATTATTTAATTTTTATTTAAGATAAAACAGTTAATGCGTATCTGATATATCATTGAAAAAATTCATTTCATTAAAACAAAAAAATTCCAATGCTTAATTATTAAAAAGTGTTTGATAATAATATTTAATATTTAATTATTTTTTAAGAAGATAAGTATGTGAGAATGCTAAGTTTGATTTTATGTTTAAATTATTTTTCCAATTGACTATTTTTTTATTAAAATTAAAATATTATCTAAACTTATTTAAAATAATATAAATTACATTTGAAAGATTAAAATTTTGAAATAAACTATCATCAAAAATCAAAATTTAATCAGAAATACTCGCAATTAGTTGATCTAATGGGATAAAATATTAATTTTTTAAAATAAAATCAGAAATTTAAATTTCTAACACTTTCGGATAAAACAAACTGAATTAAGTGAGTCGTAAATTTATAATACGTCTTTGTAGTATTTAATATGGATTAGTTAATCGAATATTAGTGTTTAAATAAAAAATAAAACATAAACAATTTGACACGTGGCGAATTCACATTGGCTCTCTGACCCGTTCTCGTTACGATTTCACGACAGTTTTTCATTTCGTTCCGACGTTTCAAAGTGGGGCCTACCTCTTGATGGTCCCATTCTGCGGACTCGTGAGTCGAATGAACTCAGAGAGAACTCGTTTCCCCTTGGCTCTCTCTCTTCCTAGGTTTTTGGTTTATAAAACTTCGAGCTCTCTCCCTTCCAAAGCTCCCGAGGTTTTAACCACTCTGCTTTTTCTTTTTCTCGCACTTTCTCGTCTGTGGCAGCTAGTTTTCTGATTAGGTATGAAAAGCAAAATCTCCGATTCTAATCCTCTTGCTCTCCGTCGTTTAAAACAATATATGTTTCATTTCATAGGAAAAAAATCAGAGTATATTGTTTTGTTTAGTAAATTTAAGATTTATCTTGTATGTTATTTGATTTAGTTTAACTCCGTTCTTATAGGATTTTGCATTTTTTGCCTTTTCTCTCTGTTCTCCGCTCCTCTGTTTTTTATTTTACAGTATATAAGAAACATGCAATTGCATGTGCATGAACTGCTCCAGTGTCTGTTTGTGATTAATTTGTTAGATTTTGCAGTTGATTTTGATTATTTCCGGAGGAGGAGATTGAATAATCGCAATTACCTGAAATACTTGCTTTTGTTTGAGTTAATCCTTTCATCGTTGTGCTAATATTTAATTTCAAATTGCAACAAATGAAGGATATGGTTTGTTTTGAGCTTTTCTCCCCATGCATGCGTGAGGGAGAAGTGAACACTGTATTTTTTATATAGGCGAAATTAAAAATTTATTTTACTGTGGAATTAGCATTGAGCTGTTAATGGTTTGATATATTGTATGCTCCTTAGTTGTTGATGAAAATGGTGTTGCATATTTAAAATCTAGATTTACTGGGTTAACTGGAGCTTAGAGTTATTTAAAAAGACCTTGAAGGTTGGAGACATTTGTCTTCATTCTCCAGTTATACCTACGCATAAATTCGTTCTCTGTGTATAGACTTTGAAATGTGTTTAAGAAGGATAGAGTTATTAAATCATGGAAAATATGATTAGAAAGTAACAATGAGCATTTTATAGTTCTCTACATATCCTTCAAGCCCATCTCATACCCCTCCCCTGCCCTTTTTCCTGTAATCTACAGTGTACTGACAACTCCCTTATTGAAGCATTGGTCCTAGAACTATCTGACTCACACTGTTTATTCTTAAATCTTTAGTTCCTTGTTGAATAAGTTCCTCCACAGCCTGCTAGCACCATTGATCTCGAACTCTATATATTTCAATGGAAATGTGTGGCAACTAACAGGGGTGATCCTGTGGCCTCTTTCATGACATTGTGTGTCAAAAATGTGGACTGGTTAATTTCATTGAATTTTTTAGTTACGCTGTTTTATGGTACATTATTGCTCCATATGGTATTTGTTATAATTGTCCAGAATCATTTACCATTAACTGTGGTATGTTTTTTAGATAACTGAGAAGTTAGTCATGTAAGAAAGTTCAGGCATAGCAATTTGGAATGTCTGCTTGTTATTGTTAGTACTTTTCAATTTTAAGGTGTACTTACAGAGTTTATGGAAGACTATACTCTGCAAAGCTAGCGTTTGCCTATGTATCCAAAGAGGTCTGGTCAAGGAGATGGGCCAATTACTAGGCCTGTGCGCTCAAGTGATAGGCTTAGGAGAAGGCCAAAAGTATATGGCCGACCATATTTGTATTACAGTCCTACCATCATTCGAAAGAAGAGCAAGACAAAGACAAGGACAGCAGCTTCTCGCATTGCCAAAATGTTGCGTTCGGGGGATCGGCCGGTGCGTGCTTCAAACAGCAATGTAAGTTATACAAACTTTTTTGACTGTATATGCCATGCTGATATTCTTTAAGCTGTTGTGAGAACATTTTTAGCTCATCCTTTTTAATGTGAAGTTTTTCTAGGCTGTAGATTACTTGGAAACATAATTCTTTTGTGACTATAGTTGTTTTGAAAATGTGTTGCATTAAAGCTCCGATTGCCAGTTGCTCTTGCAACTTAATTTTTGCTATTGCTTCTTGAAAAGTTGCTGCAGAGGAGAAGTTAAAAAGCAGAGTTGAATTAATTCAAAATGAACCATAACTAAAATAGAACATCAATGTCTCATAATCAGTCTACATCAAATATTTAGTTTACACTTTTCAGAAATGTAAAATTTTGTTTGATTTCTTCTGAAAGCAAAAAGAAAAAGAAGGCGTTTAAGTTATTTTCTATGGCTGCAATTAAAGAAAAGGAACATATTAGTGGACACTGATGTTTAGAATATTTTAATATACCTTCTTTTGAGACACTTTTTTTGTGCTGTGGCTGTATTATATAATTTATATTCACTTTCAGATACAAGTTCCTTCTGTGGCCTTTTAGATCAAAATGTAAATTCCTTTGTTCTTAGTTATGTCAGGCATTGTTGTAGGAGGATATGTTTTATGTAGGTTTTCTTTAATAAGTTGTGTCTTTGCATGTTTTCATATCATTGCCTCTTTCCTTGAAGCTGATTTGATTAAATGACTCATTTTTTTCTATGATGTCTTGCATTGTGATTTGTGAATTTGATTAATTTTATTCATTGTCTTATGCAGTCAGGCACGGTCAATCTTCGGCGTTCATCTAGAAAGAGGAGAGTTTCTGTGAATCTAGCTGGTTATACTGAGAGTTCCGGTTCAGGGGATGAAGACATGATGGTACCGTCCAAGCATACAAAATTTTTGGAATTGGATTAATTTTCTCACATTTAATGAAACATAAATTTTATCACATCACAAAAGCTTATTCCATTTCAACTCCTCACTATTTACTTTTTTCAGAGACCTTCATATCGACCAATGAGGAATCGGGTTGCTAACAGTGTAAGTCAAGATGAGTCTCCTTCTCCCAAGCAGAAAAAGAGCATGGAGACTAAAGAAACTCCTCGACGTGAAGGATTACGCCCTCGTCGTTCAAAATCAGCTGCAATTAAGCAGAACAATTTTGATTATGGTGATGAGCAAAGTACTTCGGAGGAGAAAGTTGGAGAAGATGAAAGTGAAAATGGGAATGATATAGATGATGAGGTTGCAGATGATGACCAAAATGATGCTGAAGATGAGGGTGATGAAGAAGCTGAGGGTGAAGATGAAGAAGAGGATGAAGGCGATGATGAAGAGGGTGGAGAGAGAAGGAAGGAAGGAGGCGATATGATCTTCGAAATCGTGCTGATGTACACAGGCTATCTATGGATGAGAGCAAGCAAAGATCTAGATCTCCTCGGAGGGTTTTACGTCAAGGAATGGGGACTAAGGTCAGCAGGGATGTTAGGAAGGGTGGCTCACGTGTCCATAAGCGTCATCGTCTAACAAGAGCTGAGGATTCTGATGATTCTATTCTTGTGGATGAGCTGGATCAAGGTCCTGCTATTCCTTGGGGTCGAGGTGGAAGCAGATCTGGACCACCTTGGCTGTTTGGGGGATTAGACATGCATGGGACAACAGCATGGGGATTAAATGTTGCTGCATCGGGTTGGGGAAATCAAAGTGATGCTTTTGCTACTTTGACTTCTGGGATTCAGACTGCTGGACCCAGCTCTAAAGGAGGGGCAGATATTCAACCCTTACAGGTTGATGAAAGTGTAAGCTTTGATGAAATAGGCGGGCTTTCTGAATATGTTGATGCTTTGAAGGAAATGGTCTTTTTCCCCTTGCTGTATCCAGATTTCTTTGCAAGTTATCACATCACTCCACCTAGGGGTGTTCTGTTGTGTGGTCCCCCTGGCACTGGTAAGACATTGATTGCCAGAGCTTTAGCAAGTGCCGCTTCAAAGGCTGGTCAGAAAGTCAGTTTTTACATGCGAAAGGGTGCCGATGTGCTTAGTAAGTGGGTTGGTGAGGCTGAAAGACAATTGAAACTTCTTTTTGAGGAGGCACAAAGGAATCAGCCTTCCATTATTTTTTTTGATGAGATAGATGGGCTTGCCCCTGTGAGGTCTAGTAAACAAGAGCAGATCCACAACTCTATTGTGTCCACTTTGCTTGCCCTCATGGACGGTCTTGACTCCCGTGGACAAGTCATTTTGATTGGAGCTACTAATAGGATTGATGCTATTGATGGAGCTTTAAGGCGCCCTGGGCGATTCGATCGTGAATTCAATTTTCCATTACCTGGATGTGAAGCACGTGCTGAAATATTGGATATTCACACTCGGAAGTGGAAGAAACATCCTTCGAAGGAACTTAAAATGGAACTTGCAGCTAGTTGTGTGGGATACTGTGGTGCAGATTTGAAGGCTCTATGCACTGAAGCTGCTATTCGTGCTTTTCGTGAAAAATACCCGCAAGTGTACACTAGTGATGACAAATTTCTGATAGATGTTGACTCGGTGAAGGTGGAAAAGCATCACTTTATAGAGGCTATGTCAACAATTACTCCTGCTGCTCAAAGAGGTTCCATTGTTCACTCTAGACCGTTGTCTTTGGTAGTTGCACCATGCCTGAAGAGACATCTTAAGAAAGCATGAACTATATATCTGACATATTTCCTCCCCTGACAATTTCATCCGAGTTGACTAAGCTTTCGTTGCTTTCATATGGATCAGCAATTCCTCTTGTTTATAGGCCTCGACTGCTACTATATGGTGGTGATGGTTCTGGCTTGGTAAATATTTGCGTACCCTTGAATTTTTGTAACTGTAATTATTGGGCCAGAAACTGAATATACTTACTGATCTAGTTATACAGGATCATCTTGGACCAGCAATTTTACACGAGCTAGAGAAATTTCCTGTACATCCTCTTGGTCTTCCATCACTTCTTTCGGATCCTAGTGCAAAGACACCGGAGGAAGCGTTGGTGCATATATTTGGTGAAGCAAGAAGAACCACACCATCTATACTATATATACCTCAGTTTAATCTGTGGTGGGATAACGTGAGTGCTTCATGCATTAAGCAACTATTCAAATCTGATTCGGATTTTAAGTATTAGTTCAAATCTGTTTAACGAGGCCTCCTTTTCTTTTAAAAGTATTAGTTCAAATGAATGCACTTAGTGTGTTGGCATATGGAATTTTCAGGTCTTGTTTTTTAGTGTACTATTTGTATTTTCTTTTGTTTTCTAAGTTCGATGAATCTGTTGTTGCAGGCATATGAACAGCTAAGAGCTGTTCTGCTTACCCTTTTAGAAGAGTTGCCTTCAGACTTACCCATATTGCTACTTGGAACTTCATCAACTTCACTTGCTGAATTAGATGGGAATCCCTGTTCAGTATTTCCTCAGCGTAGTGTGTACGTGTATCTAATCCTTAAAATGACCTTTTATGCATTTCCGCCCTTCATTTTTGTGACTATATGGGCATAATGTTGACCTTTTTGCCAATTATTTTCCATAATCTGAGTTGGTTATTGCTGTCACCTTTAAGTATTGTTTTCAGTAAATAAACCATTATTGGCCTTTCATGCAAGTTACAGATCTTGTTGAGGCATACCACAACAGAATGCAATCCAACTGCATTCTCTTTTATGCTGATATGACATGTGAAACATCATAGTTTCACACATTTTTTTCAGAAATTCAATATACGAGTAGAATGATATTCTTGTATTACATTTTTTCTGTTTTGTCTTGCTTTTATTTGGGTAATATTCATGAGGAGGACCTTTTTTACCCAATTCGCCTGCAGCATTTATTTACATGTCTTTTTGTTTATTAAAACTTAGTTTGACAGTCACGTATTTAATTTTTTTTGTCAGCTATCAATTGGACAAACCTTCAACTGAAGATAGATCTTTGTTTTTTGACCGTTTAATTGAAGCTGCATTATCAGTATTGTTGGAGGCTATGGCCAAAAAGTCACAGGAACCAAAATCCCTTCCTGAACTTCCCAAGGCGTCAAAAGTGGAAAGTGGACCAAAGGTCTCAGAATTGAAGGCCAAAGTAGAGGCCGAGCAACATGCAATTCGTCGCTTACGCATGTGCCTCAGAGATGTCTGCAACCGGTAAATTTATCAGTCCTAATTATGTAATATAGTGTAAGATTTAACTTAGGGTCCTTTCCTTTATTGTTCCCTGCCCCTTTCATTGATTGCTATTCCTTTCTCTTTGCGATGGAAGCTCTGTGGAGCATATTTCAATTGATTTGGGTGTAGCTTTAAGAGAAATAGTTGCTGGAAGTGGAACTAAGGTTCTAATTTGGAGTTCAAATTCTGGAAATTGAAAACAATATAACTAATGTTGGAGGATGGCTTAAAGCTTTCGAAAGAATCATCCAAAGTTATTAGGTATATTCCTGTAGAACTGTTCTGTCAAGTGACTTTAAGAGAAATTTCAGTTTAGAAAATGAAAAAGCTTGTGGAAAAAAATTATAAAATTATAACCATGAGAAAAAAAAGAATAAAAGAGAAAATCAACTTTTCGAGATGTGGTTAAGCTGATATTCTGTTGTGGTGTGGTTTTTGCCTCCTCGTAGTATCATTGTTGGATCTTTCCAAGATGGTTCATGAATGTGTTTTGGGTCGTAAGATCTCCTTCCATGCGATCCTTAATTATATTAACTTATATTTGTTGCCTTGCCCCAAAGTTGGCATAGGATGGGCTTCTAGGTTTTAATTTATTGTTGATTGATATCTTCTGCTTCTATATTTAACTATTAGTACACTTTAGAAACGATGGTTGATCATGTTGCAGGGTACTTTATGATAAAAGATTTAGTGCCTTCCATTACCCGGTTACTGATGAGGACGCTCCAAACTACCACTCGATAATCCAGAACCCCATGGACATTGCTACTTTATTGCAGCGGGTTGACTCTGGACAATATCTTACCTGTTCTGCTTTTGTGCAAGATGTTGACCTGATTGTAACCAACGCAAAGGTGTGGGTTTGTCAAATCCGAAATCTAATCTATTTCGAGTTCTTATTTTAAGATAAACATGTGATTTGCTAACACATGGAGACTCGCTGTGGCAAACACTTGCCAAAAAGCGTTTTTAAATAATCTGATATGCAGTTTTGGTTTATTGTTAGGAATTTTAGGTTTTTATCGAGTAACTGGAAGTTTCAAATTTCAAATTTTGTTCAAAAAGTCTAGCAACTTGATTTACGATAACGAGGTCCAATTTTCATTTGTTGCTTTGTGTGGCTCTTTTGTGTTGTTCCCTCCTGCAAGTCTACCCGTGCCTGATTCGTTTGCTATCCTGAATTTCAGGTTTACAATGGAGATGATTATAATGGTGCTAGAATCGTTAGTAGAGCTTGTGAATTACGCGACAGTAAGTTTACTTGTTCTTTTCTGCCAGTGTTTTATTGTAATTACCAAGGGTCTCCCCTTTCCCTTCCTTTTTTTTTTCAATTTTCTTAGCGTTTTAGTTTCTTTTCTATCAGGTAGATGGTATGCTGTCACAGATGGACCCTGCATTGATCGCTGATTGTGACAAAATTGCCGCCCAAGGGGGTCCGACTCAAATTCCAGATGATCTTGGGCTGTCTCCTGCAATACCTGTTGTGCAGCTAGGTACTTCCACTCGAGCCAGTGCTCGACTCCGCAATGTCCAGCCAGAAACCAATCTTCAAAGCCATGAGGCTTTGAAAAGGCCAAAGAAGAATGCTGATGCTGCCCCTGCAGGTATATTGGTAACTGTATATATAGATTAGCAGACTCTTGTTTGGTGTATGATGGGTCGGATTTTAAGCTTTATTTGTTAACAAATGCACTTTTCACTTGTCGAACTCCGCCTACCAAACCGTGGGGGTAGAGTAAATGAACAACGAATGACATGAATCACTCTGCCTATATGTTGTGCTGGCTTGAACCACTGTATCCTCGAACCGTCGGGTAGAGTAAATGAACAATGAATGTGACATGAATCACTCTGCCTATATTCAGTTAGAAGTATTCTCAATGTTCATCCCTTACCTGTTAATCCGTGTGCCGACGCAGATGACAAATCCCAGACTGCGGATTCAGTGCAAACAAAGTCACCTCAAATTCCAGAGGTAAGCGAGATACACTGTGAGGGGCTGAACCTATTTTGGGTTATCGTAAGCAGCAAGAAACTTCAACAGATTTTAATGGATCTCGGGACGCTAGAATGTCGGATGATGAGATTTCAACCTTAGCCGAATCCGCAAAGAAACTGTTTGTGGAGCGAACAAGAAACTACGGGATTCCGGAGCTGGAAAGGGTGTACAGTCGTATAATGAAAGGCATTTTTGAAAGTAGGGAGAAAGGTATTGGAGACGATGATCCGAGGCCTTCGATTTTGAAGTTTTTGTTGAGTTTTGCAGAGGATGAGTCTAATTTCTCGTTTCTTTAAGGCCTCTTTTCTCACAAAGAGAACTTTTACTCGGGTAGTTGTCGTAAAGTCGGCACTTTTTTTTTATTATTTCCTTTCAATTCATATTATTGAGTTAGGCCAATCGCTATTCTCTACATTACATACATTCACACACATCTTTTAGTTTTATACATTTTAGGACCATTAGAGGAGAGAAATTAAATATTAAGATTAATAGTAGAAAATGAGAATATATTCACTTGAAAGAGAGAATAACCCGATCAGATTGGTCGAAACTTGTCGAAAGCAGACAGAAAATTAATCAGAATAAAACTTTCAAAAGCATCCACAATCTCTACTTCCAAAAACATAACTAGAGATGCGAACAACTGGAGAAAATAAAACACAGAAAGCAGACAATTATAGTTTGAATAATCCAAGGACAATCAAACGTTCACACTTCACACATTCAAACTCAAAACACAGTTTCCCTACATTTCTATTAAAACTGGAAAGCCTAGTTTGGATAATAAATACAACAAGCTTTATAAATATTACGGGTGCAACTGTTTCTGGTTCAACCGTTGCGGGCGCAACCGTTGGTGCAGCAGCAGCGCTTGTTGCAACCTACATTGCTACGGTCGACTGCCACCGTAGATGATTAGGTGCTACACATTCCCAGTTGCCAATATAATTGCATTCGGACTTCGTGCATTCAAGAGCCAAATCTTCACAAGGCTTGCCACATTCATCACAATCAGGGTAGTAGTAGCTCTTCTTGACAAAGCTGAGTGAGTGTGGATGATCCTCTCCTTCGTAGATGTTCCCGAGTTTGATGGATGGAAGTCTTCCAAGAACATAATCAACATGAGCAGAAGTATCACATGTTGTACAACAATAGAACCAACGATTTGGATCTCGACTTTCTTCGCAAATGTCACAATAATGACTTTCTGAATAATTATTATCATGATGGTCGGTGAGTTTGAGAGAATGTCCATCGCATTTGTGCCAAGCTGTACTTGGCAGTGAAAAACATTTAAGATAGCACAAGATTGCAATCCTTACAAGAAAATCCACCAAGTCCACATGTCTCATCACCACAAGCATTACACTCCCCTTTACACTCTCTGTAGAAATAGAGGGGCTAATAATGTGTCAAACAGGCCCAAACACCAGGAGTAAGAGCAACCACACATTGGAGACATATCTTTCCCTTACATTTACAACACTCATAAGCAAAGGCATTAGACACTTGCAAACATTTTCTACATTTAAAAACTGTCTGAAATAAGACGGAGAAGTGATTCGCAATAGTGATGCCAGACATGCTTCTTTTGAGGTAACTCAGCACAAGCTTTATGAAGAATAAAAACACATTGTGAACAACAGTAGAATGGATCCGAGATTGGTAATATACATCCGTCACAACTATTTTCATGCTCTCCAACGGAAGGACATAACATTAGGTTATGATCATGCATGATATGTTTTATTTTTGTAGCTTCTCCAGCGTCATTCCTCTCCAAAACAGTGATTGAACTTTCATTATATAGCTCATCTTCATCCTCAGGTTAAACTATAAAATATGAACTTTCGTCCTGAGTGACGCAGTTTACATGGAACGTAATATTGCAATCTGAACAACAGTAATATCCGTGCTCTGGGATTATCTCATCATGATAAATTACGCTGTCTGAACTTCTAAAATCATGTGGGAAAAAAATATTTATTAAAAAGACGGTGATCATGTCACGTACTTTTGATGATGCGTGGCAACGAAATGCACCCTTTATGGAGTATAATGTTGCATGTAGAACATATGTAGGAAGCATAAGCATATGTAGGAAGCATAAGTTCCTTCGGTACCACATGCATCGCAAATGAATGGTACTCATCTTGGAAATGGAATGAGTGGATGCGGATGACTGTTATCTTCAAGAACGAGTGGCGCTAATAAACTTACAAGGCCTACAACCGTAAACAAATCCGTCGATAAAGGTATCTTGGTATATCTTGCAGGAGAGCCGTTGGCTGTTAAATTGCAGAACAAGAGGATGTTTGTGATGGAACATATGATTCATTTGGAGAGGAAGCTCAGCACATTTCTTGTGTAAATTAAACCCACAATTAGGTGAGAAGTATTCATAATTTGCTAATGGTTCCCAACACACAAAGCACTTTCTAACATCTTCGAGTTCTTTATCCTCTTTTCTAGTGGAAATCTTTGGGGGATCAAGGGCAACATGCTCAAGCTCTTTCAACATATTTTGAGCAATATTGAATGTAAACAAAGCACATTTAATATGAAAGTTCAAACCACAAGAGCAATGATAAACGAACTTCTCACCCTCTTTATCGCAGAAATCGCATTTCCATAAATAAGTTGGATTTTGCACAAGAGCAAGAAGGTGATCCTGATGGAAAGGGTGATTAAGCTCTAAGGGTGCGCCGGCACATACCTTGTGAAGGTAAAACCCACAGTCCTCGGCACAACCAAACCATGGAGCAGGCACCTTCTCCCCACACCTGGAGCAGTCAGCTAGTATTGTTCCACTTTGATTGGTCATGAGCTGCTCTTCGTTCAACAACACAAGGGGATGTTGATGGCCATAATTCTTTGACACCTCCATTTCTCCTTCCTTTCCTTTCTGTCTCTTTCCAAAGTAGAAGAAGAGTAAAATGAAACTCAAAAGGCAGAAACAAATTAGCAGGGCAGCTTAAAGGGGGCGCTAGAGCTACGTTCAAGGGCCAAGAAGAAAAAGGAAAGTAAACTTGGTAGGGTAAGGTTCTCGGGAGGTACTTTATGATAAAAGATTTAGCGCCTTCCGTTCCGTTACCCTATGGTCAGGTAAGTTTACTTGTTCTTTTCTGCCAGAGTTTTATTGTAATTACTTGGGATCTCACCTTTTCCTTTCTTTTTTCAATTTTCTTAGCGTTTCAGTTTGTTTTTTATCAGGTAGATGGGATGCTGTCACAGATGGACCCTGCATTGGTCGCTTATTGTGACAAAATTGCCGCCCAAGGGTGTCCGACTCAAATGCCAGATGTTCTTGGGTTGTCTCCTGCAGTTCCTGTTGTGCAGCTGGGAACTGCCACTGAGCCAGTGCTCGACTCCGCAATGTCCAGCCAGAAACCAATCTTCAGAGCTACAAGGCTTCGGAAAGACCAAAGAAGAATGCTGATGCTGCCCCTGCAGGTATCGTGATATCTGTATGTATAGATTAGCTGACTCTTGTTTGGTGCATGATGGATCGGATTTTAATCTTTGTTTGGTGGTAACATATGCAACTTTTCACTCGTCGAACTCCGCCTACCAAACCGCTGGGTAGAGTAAATGAACAACTAATGACATGAATCACTTCCACCGACGTGAATGGATCTCGGGATGCTAGAATGTCGGATGATGAGATTTCAACCTTAGCCGTATCTGCAAAGGCACTGTTTGTGGAGCGAACAGGAAACTATGGAATTCCGGAGCCGGAAAGGTTGTACAGTCGTGTAATGAAAGTCATTTTTGAAAGGAGACGACGATCCGAAGCCTTCGACTTTGAAGTTTTATTTTTTGAGTTTTGCAGAGGATGAGTCTAATTTCTCGTCTCTTTAATGCACATCTTTTCTCACTAAAGTCGGGACTTTTTTTTCCCTTCCAATTCATATTATCGAGTAATGCGAATCGCTGTTCTCTACGTTACATACTTTACATACATACATGCATACATTTACACATGTTTAAAAATAGATCTAATTGAAAATAATGACCAAACTGAAAAAAAAAATATAGAGAAATGTATTATTGTAATTATTTCTAAGATCAACTCGACTTGACTCAATTAAAAAAAATTTGATTTTTTTAGGGAAAAGGGCAATCTTTACCTCTGTAGTAGACCCAACGTATTTTCACCACAAGCATTGCACTGCCCTTCATACTCACTGTAGTAAAAGAGGGGGTGATCATGTGTCAAACATGTCCGAACACCAGGAGTAAGAGCCACACATTGGAGACATATCTTTCCCTCACATTTACAACACTAATAAGCAAAGGCATTAGACACTATCCAACATTCTTCACATTTATTAACTTCATCTGAAATAAGATGGAGAAGTGGTTCGCAATAGTAACGCCACAGATGCTTCCTCTAATGTAACACAGCACAAGCTTTATGAAGAAGAAAACAACATTCTGAACAAAAGTAGAATGGATCCGAGATTGGTAACATACACCCGTCACAACTATTTTCATGCTCTCCAACGGAAGGACTTAACATTAGATTATGATCATGCTTGATATGTTTTATTTTTGTAGCTTCTCCAGCATCATTCCTCTCCAAAACAATGAAAGAACTTTCATTGGATAACTCATCTTCATCTGAAACTATAAAATATGAATTTTTTGTCCTCTGTGACGCAGTTTACATGGAATGTAATATTCCAATCTGAACAACAGTAATTTCCGTGCTCTGGGATGACTTCATCATGACAGATTATGCAGTCTGAACTTTAAAAATCATGTGGAAGAAAATATTTATGAAAGAGACGATGATCATGCCACTTACTTTTGATGATGCGTGGCAACGAAATGCACCTTTTATGGAGAGTACGATTGCATGTAGAACATATGTAGGAAGCATAAGTTCCTTCAGTGCCACATGCATCGCAAATGAATGGTGCTCGTCTTGAAAATGGAGTGAGTGGATGTGGATGACTTTTATCTTCAATAACAGGAGGTTCTGATAAACATTCAATGTGCATAACAACCTTACAAGGTGTACAACCGTAAACAAACCCTCTTCGCAAGAGAGCCGTTCGTTGTTAGATTGTAGAACAAGAGGATGTTTGTGATGGCACATATGGTTCATTTGGAGAGGAAGCCCAGCACATTTCTTGTGTAACTTAAACCCACAATGAGGAGAGAAGCATGTATAACTTGCTAATGGTTCCCAACACCCAAAGCACTTGATATCATGTTCAAGTTCTTCATCATCAATTTTAGTGGAAATCATTGGGGGTTCAAGGGCAACATGCTGAAGCTCTTTCAAATTATTTTGAGCAATATTAAATTACTTTGTTCAAGCGTGTAATTACTTGGGGTCTCACCATTTCCCCTTTTTTTTCCAATTTTCTTAGCGTTTTAGTTTCTTTTTTATCAGGTAGACGGGATGCTGTCACAGATGGACCCTGCATTGGTCGCTTATTGTGACAAAATTGCTGCTCAAGGTGGTCCGACTCAAATTCCAGATGATCTCGGGCTGTCTCCTGCAGTACCTGTTGTGCAGCTAGGAACTTCCACTCGAGCCAGTGCTCGACTCCTTTTGCAATTCTTATATTCACTTCTGTTGCTTTTCAAGAAGGTCTTCGCCTTCTTTTCTGGAAAGTTTATAAGTAAGCCAATTGTTATGCCAATTATTATCACTGCTTGCCTTTCTGTTTTTTTCAGAAGCTGAAAACAAAATTTGACATCAATTAGTAGTATTGTTTTTGAACATTTAGGAAATTTAAATCCTTTCTTGGGATGACAAAATGAATGAATCTACTTATTAAGTTGATGTTATTTAGGTCCTTCATTTTATTCCATTGTTCTAGGGGGAACTTTGAAGCTTGTTCATTAGGAGTTATATGTATATGGATCTTTCATTGAGCCAAATGCTTAGGCATATAAATGGTTTTTTTGTTTAGTTGTATAGAGTCTGTGTACTTGCTTACTTGGATATAACAGTATGTTTTGCACTGCCGATAAATGCTTGCATTTGGTCTTTCTCAGGACGTTAGAAGACATATCGGATGCTTTTGCAGATAGGGTCTCGAAGCCACGCTTGTATCTGACTGATAAGATGCAGATTGCTCTTGGTAAGATTGGAAGATGCTTCCATTCTTCACTTGCTTCTATACTTGAATAGGAAAAAAGGAATTTGGATATGGTGAACTGTTGTAGGGCGTAGTAGAGGTTATTTTTATGTTATTTTGCAAAAGAGACCCCTCCTATCGTCTTAGTTATTCTATCAGAATTTTTATGAGCCGACTTGCAGTAAATTTTAGTTCTAGAGAAGCATCATTTTGTACGAAAGACATGTTCGATGGGAGTATAGATCAAAGGCATAAGTCTAGCCATACTATGATCCCCCTTTTTCTCTTGTTCTTGTGGATCTTTTTGGAAATAGTAAATTTCATTTTTATCCATTTTATATTCTCTGTTAACATTATTTCTTGATTTATGCACTGATATCAAATTTCTGTTAACTGCTTCAGCTGGCGGGTTAGGTCATGGTGTAGCATATGCAGTGCAGTATTCTTTTGTCTCAGCCTCTTAACGCCAGCATTTGGTCCAGCAACCTATTTTGTCGATCGGTTTCACAGATACAGTTTTCCTTGTTTCCGGTGAGTTGTGTTTTCTTTATTTCTATTACACGCATCTATATGTATATTTTCATTTGCATGTGATGCATCAAGCATCATGCAACCCGTAGATTGAGATTGGATTAGTGAACAGATTTCAAGGTTTAGGTAGTCTTAATTTTCTGTGGATTAGCACATATTAAGAACCATGTAAAAATTGGACTTGAAGTTAAGTTTATCTTTTCTAATAGCTTTCATCTAACATTGCTGCAATTATTGCTCTTGCATTTGTAACGGCCCACACTTTCTTAGTGGTTATGGCATTTAATGGCTACGCTGAAGGGAATATAAAGGGTAACATTCTACTTCTGTTTTACGAGCTTATGCCACACTTTCATGTTCAGTTGCAACAGTTTATCATCCCAATAATTTGCAAATTTTCAAATCTTTAAACAGTGATTGTTCAGCATCCATGTAGCCTTATTCGTTTGAGCCATGCAACATTGAGGCATAAAATAACTGATAATATCAATAATCTATGCATCGGTAGCCTCATGCGTTCGGATTCGACTTTTGTAGCCAGTGGATGTTTTCCGTTGGTTCAGTTTGTTATAAATACCTTGTGAGATTACTATTTACTCGAATACATGAAATTTTAGTAAAAGAAATGAATTTGGTAAAGTAGCCTCATGAGTTGATGCTTATTCCATGCACGTCGGACCATTTAACAGCAGATAGTTTACGATATAAGCATTCACCTGTTGCTTTTCAAACAACTACTTTTTTTCCTTTGACATGTCGATAATTCGTAATTTGTCCTCTTGTATTGTCGAAATTAGTTCGCTTCTCTCGTATAACTTTTGGCGTTTGTGAATGATTCTTGCCGACATTTTTCCTCCAGATTTTAATAAATTTTGCTTATGATGGCTGTGTTATCGGGATTCCTCTTCTCTTCTTAATGGCAATCCTGACCTGATGCACTGCGGGAGGATGGTTTGGCGGAGATTAGCGAAAAACAAAGGCAGGGTAACTCATAAAAATTCGAAACTTTGCAGTTTCTCCCTTTGTTTAGTTGGCACCTGCACAGTTCTTCTCATGCAAGTAGTAGAACATATAATCCATGTATTGTCTCCTTTTTCAAGGAATGAAAGTTCGCAACAACTAAGACGATTCTTTTGAACCCGTCTAGCGGATTATTATATGCATACTGTTTATGGTCGTGATGCTTAACGAGTCGTATAGTTTTGGCATCGTCTTGCCCCGGTCCGTTTTTCTTGTTATTTCATGCGGCAAGGCAACAATGACAAGTTCCTACACCACAGAGGCACTTCTACTTAGTTTGCCTACTTCAATGGATGTTTAGTTTGCTTATCTATCTTTGAGACTTTTCAGTAGTCAATTTGATCATATTGTGAAGCTTTTGTTGTTTCATCTATCAGTTTCATCTATGTTACATCGATTCTTCATTTTCCTCGAAAACATCTGTCTGTGCGTATCGCATATTCGGACATGAGTACGAGAATAACCCCCCTTTAAATGCATGAAGAAAACTAGAAAAATCATATATATATGATTTACAATAATAAATGAAACAAAATATGACAAAAAAATAGCAAGATTAGCCTGCACTAATTCTTCCCAAATGTTTCACTTTGATTATTACTATTAAAAGAATTGAAACAATTTCTGGTATATGTAATAACTAACACCAATACCACAGAAGTAAGCACAACATTTGCAATCACTTCAGCAGCCATTTTTGTTCTTTGTGTAGTCCTGAAACTTTTCACTTGAGGAAGAACTTCCAAATATCTCTATCGGTCACCTCTTTGATCAAATGGGCTCTGAAAATGCCTTCTTCGTCGACTAGACTTCTTAGGTGCCTCGCTGGGCTGTTGTAGCCGACGTAGTTCTTCTTCGTTGCCAAGTAGACCACTCCGTACGGAGGCCTCAGACACTGGTTGTTCATAATAAGAATTAGAAATGATACATTATGTCGAAATGCGGAGTTAAAAAGGCAATGAGGCTATAAGAGAGGAAGTTCACATATGCAGCGGCATCAGGGCTTCGGGTGTTATGTAGGGCTCTATAGACGTACACCCTTACGAAAAATCATGCATTTCTCGGGATGCCAGTGTCACTTCAGTCCGTTTATAAAACCAGCAAGGACATAATAAAGAAAACAGGCAAAGCGAAATGAGAACCTTACCTTTTTAATTAGTGCATATAACTTCTTCAATGATGACACCGGGTATGGGATTTCAGTCATCAATATAACATCATAACCGCCTTCTCCTTGATCGATCTCGTTAGCTCTTTCCCATGCCCGACTTCTCGAAAGCCTTCTCGATCTCCTCGAGGAAATTTCTTGTGCCATGATGCTTCCATCTTGGCTACTGCATCCATCCAAGAAATCCTCCTCGGAGAAGCTAAAGCTCAACCCATTAGTCAGATCGGGCACATCATTCCGGACAACAGATAATACAGAGGGGAGTTCTTCCCAGTCCCCCGCGTAGAAGTGCACTGTTGGGGCAATAGTTTGTCTGGATGGAGTCAAAGGACTCTCCGGCTGTCGGCTTTGCCTGTCCCGGGCTTGCTCAAGGTTTGCAAGAACATTTGGTATGGTAGTGCATCGAATTTTCTCCGCACTGAGGTCTTGAAAGTGCACAGTGGAAGCACCCTGTATCGGAAATGAAAAAATGGGGTGCAACTTAATCCTTTATAAGAAATAAATTGCTCTTCTTTTTCAGCGTAAGAAGTCGGGCAACTAAGTACTCATGTCCAACGCCCATGTCCGAACCAATATCCGGCATGGATACGAGGACACGATCCTCCAAGGACATTCCAAATACATGAAAATGCTAAGACAGTCCTGATGCTTGAGTAACAACAATAATATATGCACAAATGTAATTCGCAGTCTATTAATAGTAGCCAGAGTTAAGATCTTATAAACAATCTAAGATCAATGAAAAGGTATACCTTCAGACAAGCAAAAATCCCGGGAAGTCCGTAACTACAACCCAACTGTAAAAGTGATCGAATAGGATAATTAGCGCACAGTCTACATCAAAAGCTACAAAACCGATGAAGTTGTTCCATAACTCTAAGATTTTATTCCTTAAATGAAATGAGAACTTTCAGAGAAACACAAGAATGCAGCAACTTATAGCATCTTAGGTCGGTTAGTTCAAGTCGAACATAAAAGCCAAAATTGTTTTCCGTCTTAGTATATCTACTTGACCTTCAAAGCATTTTATTTCACCAGTTTAATAATATCATTAAATGGACCTAAAACATGTTTTTCTATAAGGAAAATGAAAAATCCTATATATCGTGTTTTATGTTGAAAACTTAATTCAAAGAAATGAAAACAAAGGCTGCGTGCAGTGATCGATAATATTTTCAGATGTTTCTATGATTGAACTACCTCAAGAACCCTTTTCCCTCTAAAGCTCAATTGTCCATCACGAATCTCGTGCTTAAGGACGTTAACTAGATCAATAGAGCTGTCACAAGATTTCAGAAACCCTGCAAAACAAAATAGTATTAAATACTTGAACTTACATCATACTTTGTAACAAATAAAATATACGACTCAAAAAGTAGCGGATAACTAGCTTACCGTCAGGTTTTGAAGAAATCAGTTCGGAACCAGTGAAACCAATAATATCAACGACACTAATTCTTCCCTGTAGAAGTTTTTACAGGTATCAGCAAACATATCCTAAGCCACAATAAACATTATAAGGGTGAGCGAGAAAAGATAAGATGTCTGGAAAAAGCAATGAGTCAACACACCTTGAACACGTTGAGTCCTTGCAGGTCTACATTATCCCCAGCATACTTATAAGGGTGAGCTGTCTGCACAATTATCGGATGTCTTAATTTTGTATGCAAGTTTAACCGCCGCCAAGTCACTCACATAGTAAGCCATCTATTTAGACGATACTCAACCATATATACTTGACACGTGTAAATTTCACAAGTACGTCTTGGTAGGGAGATGAAATGTACCTTTGAGGGGAGAATCTCCACCGCCGGAGACGAGAGATACACATCTTTCTCTGATACAGAGGACATGCTTTGGCTTCCTCGGTCTTGGGGCACCAACCCCGGCAAGCATTGTGCAAGCAATGAGGTTGCACGCATCTTGGCTGATATACTAGGAAATAGATATGTAGAACGAAGAATCTGAAAATATCAACATTTCCATTAATACGAAGATCATTTTGTAGAAGAAATACTTGCTACCGGTAATAAGAACCCTTCGCAATATCAAAACTAATAAAGGGGGAAGACACATATATGCATAATCATCATGAAAGATCAAAAAGGACTCAGCATGATAATGGAAAATCTATATAGGACAACATTACAGGAGACAGAAACCGGGTTGGATTCAACTAATACATTACAAACTACAATACATATCATAAAAAATCCAAGTAACTAAACTAAAAATACTGATTTCAATTCAAATTCCAGAGAAACATCACAAGAGTTGCAATAATGCAATCTATTGCTCGAAAAAAGAAAATCGGAATAGCATTCGTAACGACTAAAACTGGTATAAAGTCATACAATGGCATTCAAAGCACATAATTCAGCCTAACTCCCAAGCAAAGGAAAAGAACAAGGGAAGTGATCAGAGGGGCCAAAAATCCAATATAATACCATGAGATAACTCAGCTTCCATGGACGCACCTAAATGTTCTGACAAAACAAGACAACAAATTTGCACTAAAATAAGCAGTTTTAAACGCAGACAACATCAAAATCGTTCTTCAGCAATGGTTTTTCCTTATATAATTCAGAAAAAAACAAACTCAAATCTTTAACTTCTTCAAGAAGGAAAAAAACTACAAAGAAAGTTCATATATAATTCAGAAAAAAAATGCTAAACTACGGGTAATTAACGAAAGTCAAGATGAATCCGAGTCCTAATTATCATCAATAGAATCAAAAACAGCTGTCATTACAAGATTTACTTAACCACACAAACTAAAAAAGAGCTGTTCATAGCATTCAACCTGAAAAAAACCAAAATCAAATTACCAAAAAAAAAAGCTTTGTAAAAACAGAAAATTAAAGCCAACCCACATCGAAATTAAATCAAAAAACAAAAACCCAGAATCCAAAACCTGAAACTAAACTTACCCAGAAAAGAGAAATGATCAGAAAACAAGTTGTCAAATACAAAAATTCAGTTGCTTGAGGGTTTATAAGTAAAGACCAAAGCTTTGTAATTTTCTGAGGGAGGAGATTTACGATATTGGAAAGTCAAAAAAGAAAAAGATGACTCGTTTAGAAGAATGCAGGAGAGAAGAAGCTTCGATTTCAGACTTCCTTTCACTGAAATAGTTTTATTCCGGTTTTGCCCCTACTGTGTTATTTTCCATTATTGGATATGCCATTAACATTCGAACAAGAAGTGGTTAAAGTTTTCCAAATAGTCCCTTTATTGTGCATAACTTAAGTATTTAGTCTTTACATTCTCTTTTGATCGATTTTAACGTATGTTATTTTAAATTTCAATTCAGATTTAAATAAATAACTAAACAATTAAGAAAAAAATATAATTGAAGAACATAAATTTCATATACAATTTATGCACAACATTTAACCATTATCGTGTATGTCAGCACCGTGAACTATCATATCAACATTGTGAATTGTCACGTCAGTACCGTAACAGTCAATAACAGAAAATGTTGATTAAAGGGCCACATTGAGTTTATTTTATGAGTAGGAGGATCTCATTAAGAGAAAATAATCGAGGCCCACATTGATCTTTTTTAAAAGCACATGGACCTTTGATGTCTTTTTGTCAAAAGGAATATGCCATTAATATATTATAATTCAATGAAATTAGTAATTTTAGCAAACCAAATACTTAAAACAATGCATAATTAAGCATTAGATGGGTAATTAGTAAAATTACACTTAACATCACATTTGCACATGCATACTCTTCATTATTTGCGTAAAGAAGGAAAAAACAAAGAAAAGAAAGCATGTATATGCTCATCATAATCAAGAATTAAATACTTGCCATACATAAAAGATATTACGTGTTTAATTACATTTAATTTCATGTTTACTTGCACGAATCAATCAATCTCAGTGATTAAGAGATTATTGTTATCTCTTGAGATACTGAATTCAAGCACTTCGTGTACAAGAGTATATGAATATTTATCGTCAAATAATTAAACATGCCTATGCTAGACATATAACAATCACACTCGAGTCCAAGTAACATATGTTCGACCCTTTGGCTCTCAAGGTTCGAAGTCGGGGTCAACAAGTTCGAGTCTCGAGTTTGAACAACTTCAATGTCCTCTTTAGGGACGTTTTATTATACCTTGTGTTTCCCATCAACGAGCACACTTTTGTGTATGACTGAAATGAGCTCTTCTACAGTTTTCAAGACAAACCTTGGATTGGGAAGATGAAGACTCACATTGTACTCTTCTTCATCAAACTTTGTTCGTTTTAATGATCTCTTATAACTCTCGATGGCCGATCCCGGGTGCCCTCTTGCGATCGATGCCTGAAATCCAACAAAAGCTTTCTATTTACATGGATAACTCGAGTACCCTTCTACCAATCCTATTACCATAAACCCGAAAGAACAAAAAAAAGTATTCTCGGTACGATGGCGTAACAAATTTTAAACTATTGTTTAAGAAATTACTTGCATCCGAAGTACCGACTTAATATTTAGGTTTCTTAGAGAGGGACAGAGCCTTCTGCCAATTCTAGACTCTTATGTTGCTCCAACTCTTCATTTTTTAATTGGTCTACGACATATATCCATATATGGGGTATTGCGATATGATCCTTTGAGGATTCAAGATCGAATATATTCATGTCGGACGTGTATCCATATCCCACACTGAGACTCGAGTCTGAGTAACATAGGCACACTTCCGGTGGAAAGTTAGCAGATTCGATGAATTGCTGCCGAATTCAAATTCTTCTCATGCACATCATGTTAATTCCATGCATATATCAAACAGAACTTTAAAATGTTCGTTTCTCGAAACCTACACGGTGCAGTTCCGTGAAAGAGAAAATGAATAAAAGTAACAGAGGAAATCAGATGGAGGACTCACCAAGTGTCCTTTGCCCAGATCGAAAAGCCAAAATTTCCACTGTGGATTTATAATGCCATTGACTTTAACAGATAGGTTTGTCCAGTTCGTGTGATGAAACTCCACTTTATTCAACCCATATGCTATACCGCTCCCGATTGCTTTGACATACGCTTCTTTCAAACACCAGTATCTACAAAGCATGTCCAAACCGTAAACGGATTTATCGGCAACTCTAAACTAGAAGTGTTATGCAAGTTAAACAGCCATAAGTACGGGAATACAAGTTAACACATAGTTTGAAGCATAGGGTTCAACATGATTTCCTTGCTAAGTACAAGAAAAACACTATATAACTGGGGGTAGAAATTGAACTCCAATCGATGTCCTGTTAATTTGTGCGGCTATAACTCGGCTAGTAATCATGAACTTATGATCGATTACATATATTTGAGAAACTAAATTCTGAGAATACTAATCAAAATACGCCAGTTATTACTTTTAAAAGTTTTACTTTTAATAGATTTGTACAAACACACCTGTAAAAATCGGTCAAAACCTCCTCATCACTACCGGCAGTTGTTATCCGATCCCATTCCAAACTTGAGAAGCATGATGAGAAACTCTGAATGTATTCCGAACGGTCTCTTTGCCGGGAACCATAAAATTAACGATGTCCAACCCCACAAGGCATAGAGGTTCAGATGCTATTGCCACATAGTCACCATGATGAGAAACATTGAAATTAAAATTGGGAAAGTCCAAGCAAAATCCATCACATTCCTGGAGATACAGAATGTTCATGGAATGATAAAAGTCGCTATACGTGGAAGCCGACAAACGAAATCAAGAGATGTTATTGACAGAATATCAACACGAACATAGGCACAAGTGCCAAATGGAGGATAAAGAAAACGCAAAATTGGAAATAGCCCAATCCAGCAACCCCAATAACATGATTCAACCTACCCAAATACACCCGAAAAAATCAAATAGATTCAGTCAGAAGTTATGCATGGCATACAATCTGTCATCCAAATTCTAGTAAAATTTCATTTAACAAAGAAAACAAAGAAAGGCTGCAGGTATTTGAATTGAAGTTATCGAATAAGTTCACTGATTTCTATCACACCGAAAAGGGTTTGCCTTCCGATGTGCGGTTTGTACGCACAAACGAAAATGACACTGATCATAGACACTGCAGAAGTGCCAAAGGGGGATAAACAAAACACAAACCCCACAAACATGATTCAACCCATCCAAATACACCCAAAAAATCTACTGGATTCGGTCAGAAGTTTGCTATATTCCTACCAAAAATATGCATAAAATCTGCCATCCAAATTCTACTAAAATATTCATTTAACCATGATAACAAAGAAAGACTGCAGGCATTCGAATCAAAGCTAGCGAAAAGTTCATCGAGTTCTACCATACCAAAAAGGGTTTGCCTTCCAATGTGCGGTTTATAGCGATATCGGCAAACGGGATTCCCAGCACCTCATGTACAACAGTGTATTGAAGCAACAAGCTAACAAGAGCCCTCTTTCTATCCTCCATCTTCACAAATCTACAAAGGTGAAAATCCATGAAAAATCTGTTTAATTTTACAAACTTTGCTCATACATATCCATTATCCAAGCAGCATATCATATTTGGAAACATACCATACATCAATAACTTAACCAGACATACTGAACCAAAGCAACATAATCAACATCATCAAACAAAAAAACCCAAACATAATTAAGAAAAAAACCAGAAAGTTGCAGAAGAGGCAAACCTGGTGATGGAAGAATGATGGGTTTGAGGAAGATGAGAAAGAGCAAATGAGAAATCGATGGAAGATGGGTTCCACTTCGATATGTCCACTAACCATCTTTGAACTCCCTTCTCCATTAACGCAACAAAAATTTCTACCCAAAGTTTCTCACTTTGCTTTCTGTCGTATTATATACAGCCATTGAAGTGCCAAAAGTGATGATCATTAGATTCTTTAAGAGGAGCCAGTAACAACGGGAAATAGGTATAAATCAGTCACACGTCTCTATACTATTATAAATTTAAAATATAGTCTTTATACTTTATTTTAGGATAAACTACATATATAGTCCCCAACATTTTAGATGCATTTTAGTCATCTACTTTTAAACCTTATGAGATACAATCATTAAGTTTTAATTTATTTTTATCCTTAAGGGTATTCTTGCCCTCTGTTATACTCAATTTATCAGTTTTATCCTTATCATTTTTTACATCAATTTAGTCCTCGAAGTTGTTCAGGGTGTTCCTCCTAGTCTTCAAAGTCTATTGACAGTTTCTAGATAATCTAATATTACTAATGCGGCTTGATGATGTGATATTTATTAAAAATAAATAAAATTTTTAAAATATTCAATAAATAAAACCGAGGAAAAATCTCTAAAATTTAATCTAATCTTTTAATCTTATTGAAATAAATAATAATTTTTTAGAAAATTATGCTAATCATTGTATTTAATAAATATTTTAACATAATACTTTAAACTATAGACGCGGAAAACTTATAGTTTTATTAATCAAAACAATCAATAGACTTTAAGAATTAAAATGAGCACCTTTCATGTTAAATTGATGGGAAAAAAACGATAACGATAAAAATGATAAATTAAATTTATTACGAAAGTAACATTTAAACCTAATTTCCTACTATAGTCATTATTGCTAACTGTCGTTAAAGTAAGTTCGTGTGACATATTAACTTTATTTTTTTCTTATTTCATTTCTCTTTCTTAAAAAAATCTGTAAGCTCTTTTTTTAGTTAATTGTGAATGCATTTAGAGAAAATTACAAAAATGGTCACTAATGTTAGAGTAAATTTTTATTTTCCATATTAAAATTTTAAAAGCAATAAATTAGTCACTAACATTATCAATTTATAATAAATCAATTATTCACCGTTAATCATCGTTATTGAGAATAACATAATATTGATGTGACTGATCGATCAATATTAACTGTCGGTTAAAATAATTGACTATTTAACTCATCTTTTTAAATCCCATCGACCCTTAAAATCCAATCCTATTTTACCCTTAATTTTTACTAATCATCTCGGTTTCTTCTTCTTCTATGCACCTCCGTTTTCCATGCGCATTGTTTTATGGAGCTACGAAAGGTGGATAGGGCGGTCATCCCTCTAAAATTTTTAAATTTATATATATATTTTAAGTATTTTTTTATAACGTAACATAAAATTTTGTGTACATCCGTGCCGATGTTCCGCCACCTCGATTCTCTTATAAACGTTATATTCCATGCATGTCAAATTATGAATATAATTTTATATAAGATCGTTGAACTGTTTAAGCAAATTTCGTATATTATTTATTTTAATTTGATTTGACATTATTAATCAAAGGTGTATATATATATATAAAAGAAAATTCAAGAACATCAAAATAAAATTCCAAGGTTTTAGAGGTGGTAGTAATAAAGCATTAAAACCTTAGAATTTGAGCAGTGAGATAATCTAATTTTAAACAGTCTTAAGAAAACGAGGGAACAAATCTAACAAAAATCAATAACTTAAAAAAATATCAAATTTACCCTCCCTTTTTCTTTGCTAGGGTTTACATTTTCCTCCTATCCAAACAAAAATAATGATCTTTCTCATGCTTCCCATTGGATAGTTTACGATCTAAAAGATAAAGCCGAATCGACTCGAATTGACTCAAACTTCATCATCTTCGTAATATCTTCCATACAATGGGAAGTTGTGTCGCGAAACCGTCGAAACTAATAGGCGTAAAAAGAAGTCATCATCCGAAGTTGAGATCCTATTTCAACCCGAAACGCATGCGAAAATCGAAGAGCACACAATCGGCTAACCACAAGGTCTTGAAAGATCCGTTGGAAGAGAACTTGGAGAAATACGGCATCGGGAAAGAATTAGGAAGAGGCGAGTTCGGGGTCACGTATCAATGTTTCGATTTAAAAACCGGAGAAGCTTGCGCGTGCAAGAAAATATCGAAGACGAAGCTGAAGACGGAGATCGACATCGACGATATAATGAGGGAAGTCGAGATCGTGAAACATTTGCCTAGACATCCAAATTTGGTGGCCTTTAGGGAAGCATTTGAGGATAATGAAGCTGTTTATCTTGTGATGGAGCTTTGCCGTGGAGGTGGATTTTTTGATAGAATCGTCGCTAAAGGTCATTAATGGAAGGTAGAATAGATTTTGAAAGTGATCCTTGGCCTAAAGTTTCTGATGAAGCCAAGGATATTGTTAGAAGCATGCTCGATCCTAATCCCTTAACTCGCATGTCCATTCAAGAGGTTCTCAGTACGTAACCGATCATAACACGATATTACGATCGTTAATTTTTCTTGAATCGGACTTCGAGTAATATAGGTTGAACATGTTTCTTTCTGTGTGCTATATAAAGAAGACGAATGGATACAAAACCTGCAGCTAGCACCAAACTTTAATCTCGGTGAAAATGTGGGAAGCAGGATTAAGCAGTTCTCATTGATGAGTAAGTTCAAGAAGAAGGTTCTAAGGGTAAGGCTTTACGAAGGAAAAAAAAAAAAGAACACGCCATTTTAAGTGTTTAAGAACAACTTGCCGAATGAGCAAATCGATTTGATCATCGAGATGTTCAATACGATGGACACCAACGCCAACAGGTACTTGTCGTTCGAGGAACTGAGAGACGGGCTTCAAAAGATCGGTCACTCTGTTTGTGAACATGATGTCAAGATGTTAATAGAAGCAGTAGGTCATTGTTTTCTTTATTGCGGTTGCGGTAGTTAATAAATTACTATGAATATCGAACTGAAACTTTTTTTTTTGTGTGTGGGGAAGGCGGACATTGATGGAAATGGGTCGTTGAGCTGTGAGGAATTCGTGATAATGGTGGTTCACTTGAAAAGGATAAGGAACGACGAGCACCTAACACAAGCTTTCCATCACTTCGACAAGAACCAAAGTGGTTATATCGAATTCGAAGAATTGAGGGAAGCTTTACTGAAGGATGACCCTGGTCCTAACAATGAACAGCTCATCAAGGATATAATGCAGGATGTTGACAAGGATAAGGTAATGAACTGACTCAAACATAAGCAATCAGAGTTAGAAGTCAAACATAAGAACCGAGTTCATTTTTTGGTAAATAACCAAAAGCTTCATCAACTAACCTAGAGAGATCAAACAGTTCGACTTCCATCTCAAATCGAGCTCGAGTTTCTTACTGCTCAAGCTCAGCTCAGCTCGATTACACCCTAGAAATCAAGAAGTTATTGAATGAAATAACTGAACTAAACCCGAGTTTATCGATTGTTTTGTAGGATGTTCAAATCAGTTACCAAGAGTTCAAGGCAATGATGCTAACAGGAATGGACTGGAAAATGGCTTCCCGCCAATATTCCAGAGCATTGATAAATGCAGTGGGTATCAAAATGTTAAGACAATCTGGCCAACTAAAGTAACAAACTCGAGCACCGAAAAATCTGTCAATCTGTAAATTTTTTTAACCCTAATTCTTTTTTATATTTCAGCTTTGTTTTGGTTCTAAAATTTGTCCTATCATTAGCTTAAAAGTGATTCTTAATGCTACAAATTTGTTGTACAAGAAACAAGGTAAAACCAATAGATCATGGAACAAATACCATAATTCAAGAACAAAAGCAAGTTGGCAAGTTATATATATATATATGGTAATATGTTGTGTATTATATGTATGTGTACATATATTATATAGATATATATACAGCAAAAGATAACACTTACGATAAACGGTAGGATCCTCCCCGTGGGGAAATAGTGGCACAGCAGTTTACAAGACTAATTACCCGTATCATCTACATTTCAGCTTGAACCACCAGATTTAGAACTCCCTTTTCCCCTGCCCCCTCTTTTGCTAGTCCCTCCTGTATTTTTCGAGCTCGTTGTCTTACTGCTGGCGGCTGCAGCCTGGGAGTCGACGTCTGCTAGGCCATTTTCAAGTGCTCTAACCAAATTCTCAAAGTAATTCTTTGTCACGCTGTAAAAGAGAAATGTGACAGAATTTGAATCAGAAAAGACACTTGCAATCATTCTAGATCCTGCCACTCGTGCGGAACATTTTGACTAAATGTTGTTAAAAATGCAGAAAAGAAGTTTGTGCAAGTCGAGAGCAATGCAAAGGAGAACAAAAAATAGAGAAGTACAAACAAACGAAGGGTAAAAATCAAAAGAATAAGGTGTAAAAAAATAAAAAATCATCAAGACTCAGCGAGTCCCTCCCAATGTAGTCAAGATAGGTTTAATTTTTATTCCCACTGCTTCAAGATGAGAAAAATAGAAAGTCGGGTTACCCATGAACTATTTTACTAGGTAGTTGAATACATGTGTGAATGCTCGGGTATGTGCCTGCACAAGTATGTTCGCTTGTTTAATTATTTCCATATACTTGGAGGGTTCTTAGAGGATCATATCCTACGTATTCATGTTTGAATATGATTCGGATATGCTCAAGAAAAATGAAGGATCAGAGCAACCTAGTCATTCATTCAGAAGTAAATAAACATACCTAGTTAGCCCAGCTAACTTTGCACGAAAGTCATCAAACTCCTTTGATGGGCCATCGCCAGTAACAAATTTATTTAATTCCTTCTCGGCACACTGATGAAGCCTTTCCAAACCAGACTCGGCCTCCCCTAAACAAAATACAAAGTAGATCATATTATTACTAGTCCATTTAAAAAAAACAATTTTCTAAACAAATTTAACTTCGTCCAATCATTTTTTTAAATTTGCATATACCTTGCAAGTACTCAAAAAATTGTCTCTTAGCATGCTCACGCTCAGGACGGTAATATCCATACGCATAAGTCCATTTGAGAACTCGTCTACATTCAACTATCTGCAACATTAAATGCACCACAAAAACATGAATTACATATTTTCCTGACAAAGAAATAAGCAGAGGATGCTCAACAATCATTTACCTGAAGCCATGCCTCTGTTATAAACTTAAGCTGGGACTCGGGTGTGCATTGTAAGTCACTCAGCTTCTCAAGCTGGCAAAATTAAAGAAATTTGCTCGGAATATAAGCTAAGCCGAATAAAAATGTAGTAGAATTGCTTCATTCTACACTGAAAACTTCATAATATCATTTTTAAGTGCTACTTCCGTTGAAAATAAGTTTTTAAACTTCACTTAAAGAACTTTGGCAAAAAAAATACACTTGAAGAGAAAACCATCAGAAACGACAAGTGAACCAACCACGTGAGCCAAAAAAGATGAAGATGCAGAAACCAAAGCACAAATGATATTGCTTACAGAAGGTATAAAAAGGAATACCTAGATGACATCTCAAACTTGAAAAAGAAAGTTGGTAAGAACTTACTTGCACAGTGTGCATCTGATTTAAATCTGCAAGAGCTTTTTGTCTCGACTGCAAATAGGAACTTTCAGGTTATGCAAATTTATTATCAACAGAAAAATTCAATATTTTACCAATGTGATCAAAAAAGGAAACAAAAGAGGAAGCTAAGATAAAATCAGTTGCAGAAGCATATAGCATCCAAAATAACATTTAGAAAACAATGCCAACTCATTGTTTTCAACTAAAGCTATAACTTTCTCCACTTACACTTGTTATTACGTATTAGTCTGCAGCAGTAGTTAGTTAATTCACTAGTTAAGTTAGCTATAACAGTTTGTAACTTAATTAGTTACTGATTCGATTTGTATATATATGTAAAGTTTCTGTATTTTTTTTTTGATAGGAATTGAAGGCCTCATTAAAAACCTCCTTCTTGATTAGAGGGGCTTATAGAGAAGCTCCTTAATCAGCGGAAGGAGGAAAAGAGTGCCTTAGGATTTTATTAAACATAATAAAACCAAGATACAACCAGAGATCCACCCCCAACATAAAACAATACACCAAAAACAACCCCAAACAGCAACAGTAGCTCAAGCCTAATCCAACATAGCTACAACAACAGCCTCTAAAATATCAGTGAATAAAATTCTTTTCAAAATTCTAATACTTGCCAAGTTACCAATAGAATATATTACTAGTTACTATAATCTGAAGCAGTGTACAGGATCCTCTATTCTAAATGCAATTTCAAAGATGACACATCGAAAGAGAAAAGGTCTCAAGGGTTCCAGGTTCACAGAAACAGATAATGACTTCTTTCTTGTATCTAGTATACCCTCTTCATCACTTACTCTCTCTGTTTTTTTACATATAATAAGTTGATAGCTCATATAGAAGTAACTTAAGAAACCCTTGGCATGCCAAACACCATGGTTTGATACACAGGCACATGAAGGCTCATATTTGACATGAAGCAGCACATTCATGTCAGCAGCACATTCATGTCAGCAGCACATTCATAAAGCAGATAAAATCCAGATTATAGATATTGATTTAAGAAAATGCAAAAGAAGATGAAAATTTATTGAGGGCCTATGCAATGACAAATAAGGGAAGCCTTCCAAGTACCAATTGATTGCTTGCCCAGCGTTCATAATAATGGGTGTATTTCTCCAAGGAGTTCTTTGCCATTTCTCGCCTTCTTTCAGCCTCATCGTACTGCAAGAAATAATATGAATCATGAATCACTAGCTCAACCATTATCAAGCAGATTTTAAAAACACAGAGACCAAAAATACATTACTAGTCTCCATACCACACCCTCTTGCTTAGCGGCTTCATAACGGTTACAAGCATAGAAACCACCAGTTCTCTCACCATGTTCTGCCCATGCACCAAGGCATAACCTGCATTTACATAAATTGAAATCCCATAAAGGTTACAAATGTTATATGTACAGTGACTGGAGACCTTAATTTTTTCCCCCAAATTTTCAGTAACATGCTTTTAGGAACTTAGTATTATCTATCATGAACTTTTAAGTAGATAATATTTCAGGAACAGGATCATAATTTCAGTAAATAATCCACCCTACCCTAGTAATGGTTTAATTTACGTTACAAATTTAATCTTATTTTCTCCAAAGTTTCTATGTACTGGCTAATTCTTATTACAAATCCTAGTCCTAGTAAATTTAAGGATAGCCCTGTGTTCTTTATTAATCTTCACATTCTGGAATTAATCAAAAAAAGCCAGAAAAATGTGAATTAATGTAATCTTTTTAATCAATTGATTACAAGAGTAAAGATTATTAAGTTAGGGATACCCAAATTATTCTTCCTCGTTCTCCCTACCCCTACTTATTTTTTTGTTAAAGTAATTTTGGTTTACCATTTACAGCAAACTGTTCAGAATTTCCAGCAAATCTTTTCACTCAATTTCAATCTTCTTTTTGAGACTTATGATTAAATCAAACCTTGATTGATCAATGAAATTACTAGCTCTAACCATACCCGCTATGTACCCCAAGTAGACAGACAGCGACTACCCCAAAAATGTCTCATATCAAGCAGCATTTTTTTTCCTTGGATCAATGAAGGCTTTGAAGCTTACCAGCAAAACTCAAATTTACAAGGTGGGGTGCATGTAATGTGCATACAACCTTGGTTCTTTTCAATTGGCCGCTTGCATTTGGGGCAAGGCTTGGAGTTGGCTAGTATCCTGAACATAACATCCAACAAAAATGGTAAACAAGATAGCAAGAGTTTCCACCATATTCTACCCAAGCTACAAGAGAAGAGACTATAAACAAATTAAGGGGGTAATATGTGGAATAGGGTAAAAATAGGAGTACTGGTTTTATAATAAAATGAATTTAAGAAAAGTTGCACTCTTCTATATAAAAGTTAACAATGTATCATTAGCATGTGCAATCATAAAAAAAAATTAACTTAGAAAATAACCTAGCTCAGATACTTCCTTCCATCTCCCTTGCACCTTCTCTTAAGCAAATAAAGGAATACAGAAAATACAGGCATATAGGAAGTCAATGCAAATGCAAAAAAGGGGTTTTACTTTTGGCCAAAAAGAAAAGAGGTTTAGTGTAGAACCTTTTGGATTTCTCAAATTACCGATATGATTATCATATGTCAAATAGAAAAACAGTTCTAGCACTTCATTCCAAATTCAGATTAAGGAATATGAATCCAGCCAAAAAAATTAAAAAAATGAAGAGAAGTATATTTACCAGTTCATGTTTTCTGACTCTGCACTGTTCTTCAAGATCCATTTCGCCACAGTATCACAGTCGACGGGACGATGAGCTTCTTCGGTACACTGAGACATGATTTTTCTTAACTTAGACATTCGTTCGAGAGTAATGTCATGAAATCTAATGTAGTATAATAAAAAAATCAGGACTTACATTCCAGCAAAAGCTGTGTGAGCATATGCAGGAGACATCAAAATTTTCACCGCCAACAGCAAAATCAACAGCATACTCACACCCCGGTGCAGGACACCACTTGGTCTACCAGTGAATAAAAGAAGAAATAAGGACAACAACGGTAAGAAGCAAAAAGGCATACCCCATGGATACTAACAGAATTACTAATTCAAGCTCATGTATCCATTGCACGCACAATACAAGTGCTAAACAAGATGGGACACTTGCATGCATTCATGCAATGTCACATCTCAGGATTTTAAAATACAAAACATACCTTCCTGCTGTCTTCAATATAGGACCTAAGTAGGTAACGAGAATACTTCATTTTTTCTTCACAAGTTGCCACTTTATCAATCATATCTTGGCCAACAGCAACATTGCAAGATGGATCGGGACATCTCAGTGATAAACAACCAGGACCATCCTTAATGGTTGTGGAAATGTAACCTACGACAATAGACCAAATATAGCAACAAAAATATAAGTTTTCCAGTCAAAAGCATAATAAAAGAAAAGGATGAAATATTTGAATGACAAAGCACACGGTGTTTAGATTTTAGCTAATAAAACCACTGATAAGCGAAGCCAACCGGTGGTATGTTATTAAGGAAGAAAACATTAACTTCAAAGAAATCTAAACACATTTGCCTAAAACTATCACTTGCATTTGTACAAAATTAACCTATCAGACGAAGCATATGAGATATACCTCGCCAGCAAGAAAAGCAAAAAGGATGACCACAAGCAGCTGAAGTAATATTGTCATGCAGAAGAGATTCAAAACAAATCCCGCAAGTGAGCTGATAGGGAAGCAACAAGAGTGTCATGGATAGGTAATTCAAAAAGATAAACGATCAGAAAAGAACAAGTTTCTAAAAGAATAAGCAAATCCACAGATCTGTAAAACTTACTTCTCTAGAATTGGATACTTGAACAGCCGGTCTCTCCAACAATCCAACAGATTGCCGAACTCCTCCTTCATCGGCAAACCATTCATCGTGTACTTTACTGACACTCCTGCTATGCCAACCATGTTCAGGAAAACAAGTTTCCAAATCTAATAATACAAACAGCCTAATGCATGAAAATTAACAGCAAGTGAAGCAGCCACATCAACCTTTCCGAAAAAGCAGAATGGCTCACTTGAGATGATTGATACAACAAAGGATGCCTAAAAATGGCGAACAAAGACTAATACTTAAAATAGAAAACATGGACAACCTTGACTTTTGAGAATTATACCAGCAGACAAATATGAATAATGCAATATCAACCTAAATACCACCAAAAGAACAGAAGAATGGGTAAAAAAACAAATTACCAATTAAAGTATCGGAGCAAAATAGTTGCCTCAACTCTTGATATTGAAAGAACAGTAGAAACCTTAGAAATATCATCCTCCTGTCGTTGTTTTATATCTGCTTCCTTCAAAACAGTATAACTTAGCTGAAATAGTAAACAAAAAAAAAATGTTATTAGTACCCAGTTTCAGTTTTCATCATCATTAACAACTCACACCACAAAACCTAACCTTGAAAATATTTAACCACTCTATTAAACTCAAGATATAATCAAGAACCAGCTAATTGAATTCCAAACCAATCAAAGGAGAAAAATAATCAACAAAAACATCAGCATATGTATTGATGAAGATTCTGTGACACCATATACAATCCTGTTAATCCAATTTACCCCTCCTTAACGACAACAACTATCAAATATTTTTATGTAAGTCTGAAAATTAGTCATTATTAACTGCATATAACTCTATTTCATCATTCTACCACTGATCTGATAAGCAAAAGGATACAAATTCCCAATCATTCCCTTGAATTATCCTTTTCTTTCTTTTACTTGTCATATTATCAAAGTTCGTCGTTGCCGCCTCAACTTTGGCAACTAAATCCACTAAAAATTATATCTTCCTTTCTAGTTTTGTCTAAATTGTCCATTTTACAAAATCAAAACATCCGTAATTCCATGGAATTTATTCAGTAGCTCCAAATTCCACAAAAAACTAAAAATGTATTGAACTTAAAACGGAATCGACCTATAATTTTTTTTTTAATATTCCGCGGAAATGAAGAAAATATCAATAACATGACCTGAGGGCGACGAGAAATCATGGCATCTTGATCGTCCTCATCTCCGTCTTCAAGTAAGCCGTAATCATTGTCATCGTCGGAGTAATAATCGTTGTCGTTGGGGTCGTCGTAGCAATAGCTCAAATCGCCGCTGTAGAAATCGTCTTCCGAGTCATCAATCATATCGTCCTCCGATTCCGTTTCCCGACAAACCTAAGATGAGGAAGACAAAGTCTTGTTTGGATGGAGAGAAAGTGGAAAGCACAAAGAGAAGGGAAACAAAAGCTTAGGTGAGGAACGAGAAGGAAATTTTGGTAAGAAAAAGATATGTAATTGAATTAGGTGTAAAGGAAGAGAAATGGACTAAAACTATATATTTCTTTATTTTTCATTACATTTTTTTGTTACAATTTTTCATTACATTTGTGTACATATTTAATTGAATTTTTTAAGTATTAAATTTTAGGGTAAATTATGTATTTAGTACTTAAATTATTAATTTTTATCTGTTTTAGTACTTAAACATTCATTTTTTTAAATCATACATAAAGTTTAGTTTTTGTTTGATTTTAATACCTCTCGGTTAAAACTTTAGTTTTTGTTTCATTTTAGTATCACGTTCAAAATTTAATGTTAAGTTTTGAATATATTGAAAGTTTAAGTACTAAAACGGACCAAAACTGATAATTTAGGTACTAAATGCGTCAAGTTTTTAATTTTTGGTACTAAAATAAAATGAAATGAAAATTAAATGTTTATGTATGATTTTGAAACATTAAAAGTTTAAGTATTAAAACAGATAGTTTAGATACTAAATATATAATTTATCCTAAAATTTAATATATATATATATATATATATATATATATCAATTTAATTTGTTGTCTCTTCCTCGATAAAATCATCGTTGGTAATAATATGTTTTATATTTACCCAAAAAATGAGTTATAACTAAAGTCTAAATGAAAATAATAATATAATTTTATCATGTTTATTTTTAAAGCGGAAAGTACACAAATGATTACTTGTACTGTACTATAGGATATTGTTTTATTGAGTCTTTTAATTCGTTATTTTGATTATATGGTATTGATATATTGTGTCTTTAACTATTAAAAGTTACAAAATAGTCATTTGGCTATTAATACGTTTCAAACTCATCTTTTCATTAAAAATTGGTGGTTGTCTAAGTTGGACGTTAGCATGGTGGCTGATATATGATAGTCTTTTGAGATTCTGATATCATATTCTATCATATCCTAGTCAACAAGTTAACGTCCAACTCAGACTCTCGTCAATTTTTTAATGAAAAATGGCGAGTTTGAAACATATGAATAGTCGGGTAATCATTTTGTAACTTTTACTAATCAGAGACTCAACAAAGCAGTATCCTACAATCGAGAAACCATTTATGTACTTTACCCTAGTTTAAAATATTAATTAAATAAACTATTCAATTTAAATAAAATACTTTTATAATATTTGGAATTTAATAATACAAGCAAAATGCATTAACTAAGTGACCTTAATGGTTAAATGATTGTTGTTATGCTTAAGGTCTCGGGTTCGAACACCGTGTATACAAGAGTATGAGCGTTTAATATCAAATGATTACGAGTCTTTAAGCAAATACTACCTTATTTACAATCTAGATTTATAAAAAAAAATACACTAAACTCTCAAATGGAGTTAATAGAAAAGGTAATAAATATAATTAATGTGATTAAGGAGCATGATTAATGCATTTAAATATTGTTATTGAATTGTTTAAACACTAACAAAATTAAATAATATTTTCAAAAGTAAATTATTTATTAAATGGTTTTAAGCAAAGAATACGTTGATGCAAAATAAGGGTATTGCTTGATAGCTTTTCAAGAGGAAAGGAATATTTTACATATTTAAATATATAATAATTTATGCAAATTAAACGATTTCAATGATTAAATAGATAATTGTTAATTTTTTAAGATCCTAAGTTTAATCACGACGTCTATAGGAATATATGAGTGTTCATTGTCGAAAACTGAGCTTTTCAAATAGATATTACCATATAACTTTTTTAATCTTCTCAAATCTTAACTAAAATTAGAAGTTAAAACTCTACTACCCGATATTGTTAATCGCCGGATTAACTTCAAATCACACTATGTTAATTGTTTTAGTCAAATAGAACTTTTCCACCGTTATAATTAATTGATAACCACTCCGTTCATTAAAAACTCATCAAGGTCGAGATAAGTGATTTTTCTTTTCTCTTCTTTGACTCAAGATTAATATAGTCCTAGATGATGACTATAACTTGTGATTACGATGTTTGAGACTTAAATGAAATGATGATGATGAATAATTCGATAATCATGAATAGATGAAAAAACTCTTGAATATAATATGATGTGTCTACATGCAACAATGATCGGAAGAATGCTAGAGGGTGATGACACAAGCGAAAAGAGATCGATCGACGACTGTCAAATAATGCGAGAAACATAAGATTTTTCATAAAGAAAGTCACTTTAACATATCACATCACCATTTTCTAATTGCAGTTAGACAACAATAACCTTAACAAAAACAAGACAATAATAAAATTATCCACCATTTTTGTACAAATTGTCACTTTACCGCTATTTTTTCTTAGAGCATTTTAACCCTTAATGTTTTATTTTAGAATAAAAGGACCACTGAGAGGATGAAAACCGTAAGTTGACTAACGAAACGCTTCCTATTGAAGTGATAGGTCCTTGTGTGATTTCACGTCATAAATATATATGTGAATAATTATAATTATAGTTTACTCTAAAAATATTTTTTTTTGTTAAAGTGGCATCACACATGGATATGTATTATCTGTATGAAACATTGACGGTTAGTCAACTAACAATTTTTATCGAACGAGATGATACTTTGCTCCAAAATGAAAAATGTTCCAAAAAAAAACCAGGATGGGGACCAAAGTGACCATCTGTATACACATTGAGGGTAAATTTTGTTATTATGCCTAAAAAGAAATTAAAAGTTCAATAACTGCATACAAGTTTTGAATGTTCAATCATCAAAACCTGCATTATGGAAGTGTGTATTCATTGATCATTGTCATCTAAGCTTGGCAGATATCATTGAAAATTATAACAAACCCCAGATTTTTCATGGAGAAAGATATAAACAACAAATCACAGACTACAGCACTTCAATTAATTTTCAATCTTACTCGACGACATTATTCATACAAATTTACGAAGCATATCGATGAAATAAGGGAGAAAAAAAGTACAAACCAATCGATACGTACCCAACACCAACACGACCCAATCCCTTGGTCAATTTTATGACTACATCCGGAAACAACTTTGCGGGTCCGAAAACGGGCAACTGACAGAAATTAAACAGACCAACCCGATCCTAAGATGTCATATATGAAGGAATATGAAAATGTATATATAATTAATATTTAGTGATCAGATTAAAATCTGTATTTGATTATGAAACCAAACCATTCACGGGTTGTGGAAATTTCGATAATTGGTGAAGAAACCTGGGTCTCTTTAAGTCTCAGGTGCCGTTACTGCTGCTGCTGGAGCCTTCAACAGTGGTTGGAGAGCCTTGACCATGATGCTCATGTTTGGACGGAACTCGGCTTCATACTGCACACACAATGCTGCCACAGCTGCCAACTGTACCAGCAGAAGCATATCGAAAGCGATCAAGTGTTAGTATGGTGTGCTTTATGAAATTGAACTCGTGCAATTTATGCAGACACGGAATAAGAATACCTTGGCAACGGCTTTAGGAGGATACTCTCCCTTCAGTTTTGGATCTACACATTGTTTAACTTTATCTTCGCTCAGTCTTGGAGTAGCCTGAAATCGAGAAAACAAAACGTTTTAGTGTTGATCGAATTTTAAGTAAAAAGATTAGCAGAAGAAAGAGAAAACAATATCCGCACCCAGGTAACAAGACTTTGCTGTCCACGAGGCATCGTGTTGTCAACGGGTTTCCTCCCTGTAAGAAGTTCTAGAAGGACAACCCCAAAGCTGTAAACATCACTCTTTTGCGTCAACTGACCAGTCATTGCATACCTGGAAACATTAGAGCCATAAAATGAGTTCTAAACCTGAATAATCTTTGCAGCTCGGCAATAGGCAATAACTGGTTAGTTCGAGAAGGGAAAAAAAAGGGTATAAAGGGCTTTGAAAGCATACTCTGGCGCATGGTAGCCAAAGGTTCCCAAAACTCGAGTAGAATGAAGACGAGCAGCCATGTCAGGAGCCTGGTTTGAGAGGTTAAAATCTGCAATCTTCGCTTTGAAGTCTTCAAAAAGAAGCACGTTGCTAGATCTGATATCTCTGTGGATAATCGAGGGTTGAACCTTCTCGTGCAAGTACTCCAAGCCCCTTGCCGCATCAACTGCAATTCTTACCCTCTGCATCCAGTCAAGAACTGGACCTGGTTGTGCCCCTTGAACTCCCTTCCTTCCTATGGTTCCCAAAAGCAAGAAAATGTCAAAACTAAATGATACAGACATTAGAATCCATTTGGCCTATATCGGGAATCGATATATAATGTGATGGCATCACAAACCATGCAATATGTCATGTAGTGAACCCATTGTTGCAAACTCGTAGGCAAGCACACGGTGATTTCCTTCAACACAGTAACCTTGCAACTCGACAAAATTGTCATGCTTCAGTTTTGAAACCATGGAAACCTAAACATAGAAAATTCATGCAGTGGAAGTGTCAAGAAGCAAGGGGAAACATGACGTGACAACAACCTGAATTTACGGAGTACAATTTCTTATACACACCTGGGTCAAAAACTCCACATTTGATTCAGACTCGGAGGAAACATCGAGCTTTTTAACAGCCACAGCTCTTCCATTGTCCAAGTTGGCATAATAAACTCTTCCGTAGGAACCCTCACCGATCAAAGCCTTTGATCCGAAACTATCGGTTTTTTCTTTCAATTCTTCCAATGATAATGCAGGAACTTCGATAGGTGGCGGTGATTTCTGCACTTCAGGTTTGATAGGGGCTGGAACCTTTGAGTTTCTATTATACCCTGAAAGCCCGTAGCATGAGCAATGAGAAATTATTACAAAAACATAATCATGCAAACAGAAAAATGATCAGACCAATTATTTTACATTTCATGAAACCCATTTTCTTTTCGGGGAACATTAACAAATTAAGAAGACATGCTAAAACAATCTTCCTATCTCAGCAAGTAAAAGCCGAATATAAAACAAATAAGAAACGGCTTAGTCACGTATACAAAAATGATAATTGTTCATTGTTGAAGCGGAAACAAAGAGAGTCAAAGAACAGCCATCAGATAACGTACATGGCACTTGGTACTTTTGGGCTATTCCGCTTGGACTCTACATTTTTCGTGAAGTACTTGTGTCCGACACTCATTTCCAACACTGGGATATGAGGGGATCCTCCAAATATGGAAAAACTTAGAAAAACCTAACCATACCATGCCCGACACTAGCACCCAACAGTAACATAGTTTTCTGGTGAAGAACTAACAAATAGAAAATATGCATCACCTTCCCGTGAACCCGATTGCGCTAAATGTTAAATACATATAAGATTGTAAGAAAATAACTACAGTATTCACAATGCCAATGGATTTCTAACAGTAAATCGGAATTATCGATTCAAGTTAACAATAAAGTGGCACACCATCTGTATGATCCTTGTGGGCTTTCAGGTGCTCGTTTTCATGTGGTTGGTAACTCTCGTCTGCCTGACAGGAACAGCAAAGCCAACGACGCATCCTCGATCTTTTTCTTCAAATACAAATTGTCAGTATTTTCTAATTGAACAAGTAGCCTCTAGGAGATGCATGTGCCTGCATAGTTCCAGAATACATCCATTCATGATCCAACGTAAACATTATTAAAACAAGTCATTTTAACACATTAATAAGCAACAAATTCACCCTATCATCCTATAACAATTAAGAGTCTGGAACATAAGTGATAAATTCAAACTAAAAGTTCCAATTAATCATAATGAACTAATTAAACATTCAAATAAATATAAAATTGTAAGAGGAATGAGACTCATTAAAAGCCTTACCAACAAGCCGGGCCGATTATACTCGCTTACCATTATACCAAAGGAAAAGATAAACGATTCTAAAATCAAACCACAACCCAGAAAAATTAAGCCCCGATTCTGAAATGGGTTTGCTTCAAATTCAAGAAATAACTCCAAAAAATCTAAATATAAATGAGACCCTCAAATTTCTTCTCGAAATGAAAAGATATGAAGAAAAAGAGAGGGTACAACTGAACTGTTGAAAAATATTAAAAGAAAAGATACAGATAGGCAAACAGAAAAAGAAACATCATCCAATAAACTAATGGATTAAAATTGGAAGAAGAAGAAGAATACCTGGAGTTCCTCTCTTTCTAGATTTCCTCTTTTGGTTTGTTGGAAGAAATTCCTCCCCTTTTCTCTTCCTCTTTCTAGGGTTTGTTATCAGTTAATTGGTTTGGGATGAAGGGATTGTTAAAGAGAGAAAATAGAGAAAAGAAAATATAACTGAGAGAGGAAAATTTTAAGAATTTTAATTTTTAAAGGTTGTTTTTTTATGCTTTTGTGGGTTTGTTTTTGAAGGAAAGAGGACAGAAAATTTTAAAAAAAGTATAATAACAACTGTAGTCCTCAATATTTATATAAGTTTTCAATTTAACTCTTTATATTTCTTGAACTAAATTTAGTTTTACAGATTCAAATCATTTTTAATAAAAAATTGATTAAAACATTGGTTTTTATTGACTTGATAATTATGAAATTTTTTTATTATAATTTATTGGTATGATATTGTTTATCTTATTAGACCATACTAATAAATATTTTAATAATAAAAATCAGAGGTGTCTCGAATATTTTTAGGGTCTTGAGCGAAAATTAAAAATTATTTTAATATTATATTATTATATCATAGAAAAATGTTTAAATTATGTGTCTGGTTATAAAGGTAGAAAGTATGAACTATTTTATAAAATTGAAAAAAAAATTAGGGGCCCTTAGTTATAAACCTCAATTGAAAACTAAAAAAAAGACCCTATAGAAAAAAAAGTATATTATATTATTTTGAAAAAAAACTAATTTAATATTACATTAATGAACCATATAAAATGATTAAATTATGGGCCCTTAATTATAAAAGAAGAAAGTAGGAATTATTTTATAAAATTGAAAAAGCATTAGGGATCCTTAGTAATAAACCTTGAGCGAAAACTCAAAAATTGGTCTTATAGAATGAAAATATACTATATTATTTTGAGCAATTAATTTAATATTACATTAATAAATCATAGAAAATGATTAAATTATGGTTCCTCAATTATAAAAATAAAAATAAGGACTATTTTATAAATTTTAAAAATTTAGAGGTCAATAATAAAAACTAAAAAGTGAGGGCCCTGAGCAATCGCTCAGGGTGCTCCCCTTTAAAGCCGACTCTGATAAACATGAAACATATATATTATTATTGTAAGTAATTTTGTGAATATCATTAAAATTTAAATATTTCAATTATCATTTTTACAAAAAAAAAAAAATAATGATTTAACTCTTTTAAGAAGTTGAAAATAATTTTTTTTTCTTTTCCAAATGTTGATAGTCAATTTAAGATAAAAAGAATAAAGGTTAAATTGACAAAAAAATAACTATTGAGGACTAATTTCTTATTATACCAAGAAGATATGACAGAGAGGCAACGCGGGGAAAATGATAAAATAAATAAACAATGAATGGAATATTTCCACCTATTGTGCTAGTAATTGAAGCTGATAAGACTATACATTAAGAAAAAAAAAGTAAACTTTATAATATAAGGATAAAGTACATAAATGGTCCCTAAATTATAGAGTGATATTTTTTTCAAGTCTCTTAACTATTTAAAGATATGAAATGATCCCTTGACTGTATGCCATTGCTTTGTTAAGTCCCTAGACTATTAAAAGTTACAAAAATGATCACTCGGCTATTCATATGTTCCAAACTCGTCATTTTCTATTAAAAAAGTGACGGCAGTCTACCATGAACTTTAACCCATCGACTGTGATATGATAAAATATGATTATAAAATCTCAAACGACTATTATATCTCAGTCAACATGTTAACATCGAGCTCAGGTTATCATTATTTTTTAACAAAAAATGACGAGTTTGGAATGAATAATTAGATGATCATCTTGTAATGTTTAATAGTTGAGAGACTCAACAAAATAACGTCCTATAGTAGAGGGACCATTTTGTAAATTTTAATAATTATGGACTCAATAAAATAGCTTCCTATAATCAGGGACCATTTAGATACTTTACCATAATATTAATAATAATATAGCATATTCCAAGCCTATTATATATAGCCAACAAATATCGTTTTAGTTCCAATTAATATTAGATTTCAAAATTAATTTCTGAAAATTTTATTTTATGAAAATGACAAAGTTGACCCATCAACTTTGATTTATCATGAATTAGTCATTGTTTCTTAGCTGATATCACAATTGGTACCTATGTTATAACTAATTTCAGAAATTAATATTAATTTATTTGTACCTATGTTGTAAGAATCCAATGATTCTAACAACATTGGTTTATACCCATTATCTCGAATTCCATGCTCCATTGATGAAATTTTCCTTAAACCAAATTGCTTGACAAAATAAAAACAATTAATTAAACCGATTTTTCAAATTTCATAAAAATATATGTACTAATTTATGATAAATCAAAATTGAAGGATGAAAGTCATGATTAAACCAAATTTTTTTACAAAAAATATTAATTTCCCCAATACTAGAAAAAGGAATATTGGTCGGTTCTCTTTATTGCCTCTAGTTGAAAAGAGGACAATTTCTTAGCTTTGCTTTAGGAGAAAGAATCAAGAATGGATGCTTGGTGGAGAGAAGATAACCATGGCTTTTTTTTAATTAAAAAAATTCTTGTTTAAGAGTAGAATTATCCATATGATGCGTGTAAAATAAATGTTGAAATAATTTTAAACGTAATGAATAGTTGAACGATATTTTATTGAAAACGATGACAATTTGAGTTTGACATCGGCTTGCTAACTGATATATGATATGATATGACCTCAGAATCTCGAATAATTATCATGTCTCAGACAGTAGGTTAACGTCTAACTCAAACTGCTATCAATTTTTAACAAAAATCGATGAGTTTGGAATACAATAAATAGTCGAGTGACTGTTCTATAATTTTTAATAGTCGCAAAACTAAAAAAAACAATGTCATATAATTAGAGGATCATTTTATAACTTTTAATAGTCAAATGGCTCATTAAAGTAATACCAAATGGAATCATTTATATACTTTATCTTAAATTTTAATTAATATATATTTTGTTTAGACGTGTTAATGATTAAATCGTGAGTTGTAATGATTATGGACAATTCATATATTTTTATTTGAATTGTCCAAAATCTGAGATCTTTTTTTAATCTTACATGAGAATTTATATTTAAGCCCTTAGTGTTGGTGTAAAATTTAGGGTCACAATGACTATTAGTAGCCGATCTATCTGACCTGACCAAAAAATTTTAAATCTCCAACATGACAAGAAATAATATATTTATTGAAAAAAAACTTTTTATTCAATAAAAATATGGATAGAATTGAAAGAAAATAATATATAGGGATATTATTGTAATTATCCCTAAACAGGATTGAGTATTTTCACCCTAAACCCGAAATTCAACCCGACCCGAACATAACTTAAAAAATGACATGAACCTAATTTTTTTTAAAAAAATCAAACCCGATCAGATCAGATCAAATCGAAACTCATTGGATTTGGGTTCCATGCCTCTCCCTAGTAGACGGAGCCATGTGTATGGTTGAGGGCCACTGTCCCTTAATTTTTTATTATTATCAAAAAATATATAGGGAAAAACATGTATTTAGACCTTAACTTTTGGTTTATTTTGATTTTGTCCCTATTTTTTTTATTTATTTTGATTTTATCTCTCTCATTTTATATTGTTAAATATACCTTGCCCCCTTGAATTGGAATTCTGGCTCCGTCTCTGATTAGTAGACTTGACAAGATTTGTAAATGTAGTCCATATAGATGTCATAAAGTCTGATTTAGCTCGGATATATTATGTGGGTCTAATCTACTAATGGTCATATCAATAGATGAATAATTGCGAAAGTGCCATTTTTAGAGGAGATCTATAGGAATTAGAACAAAATGTATATTAAAAAGTATTTGCTAATCATTTGTGTAAACTATTAAATGCTCACTTCAGTTTCATTTTTGTTTATTTTTATCATCAATTTTTAAGAAATTAACATTTAATCACTTAATCTAATCGGTTTTCAGTTTGGCCAAAATTTTAAACATTTTGTCCTTGTGGTATCATATGTAGGTCATAAAATTGAAATGACACATGGGATTGAAATTTTACTTTCTATAAGAAAAAGATTATATGTACTTATATCAAAATTTCCAAATCTTATATCTAACACTAGATACACTATGCATTTAGTACTTAAGTGATTAATTTTGGTCCGTTTTAGTATCTAAACTTTTATTTTTTTTTTCAAAATCATACACAACGTTTAGTTTTCATTTCATTTTTATTATCCTTCCGTTAAAAACATAACACAATCACTATCTAAACTATCTGTTTTAGTCTATTTAGTACCTAAACTTTCAATCTTTTCAAAATTTAACATTATATTTTGAACGGGTACTAAAATGATACATTTAATCGGAACCTACGAGGTCTGACCGTGGATATCACGACTCTAACACAGATAACTGTGGAACAAACCCTGAAGATCACGATCGACACACATACTCTTGTCGAGGGACTTGTCGAGAAGGCGATCGATCCGGCAGAAAAGAACGCGCTCACGACATGCGAAAACACTTACCACGACGTGATCGATGGTTTCCAGCAAGCGATAGCGGCGTGCTTTGAGAAGGATTACAATAGCATGTCCACTAATGAAATAAATTATTATTAATTGTGAATGAAGCAAATTGTGTTGTTCCCGTAATGAATTTTGATGTTATCCGATTTGAATTAATCGATTAATAAAAATGATATCAATGATTAAAAAATATAAATAATATTAAATGTATAAGCAATTATCAATGATTCTTTGTTGATTTAGAAAATGGAAAAAAGTTATTTATCAATTTAGTGTTTTCTTAAAATTATTAATAATTTTAGAGCGAATGAAAGTACAAAGATCAAACTAATCGGAAAAATTAATAGGACGAAATGAGAATTTCACCATAATACAGGGGCCAAAATAAGTATTAAGCCAAAAATCAATTAAATAACTCGCACTAATGCGCACTCAATTAAGCCCTTAACATTATACCAAAAAACCAATCGAGTCACGGAGACCATCTTTGACCGGTAGACTCTAGTACCACCATACATTGTGTGGTGTGTGAATATCGCTGCCGTATCGGAAGCTGTGAGTGGTGGGCCTTTTCACACCGGCCACCGTCACTTCCGGTTGAACTTTGAAGTGCTTTGGTTCGGCAAGTTCGGTGAATAAAACCCGTTTCTCTCCCAGCCAAGTCCTGTAATTGCAATCAAGCCATAATGAATAAGCAGTCTTTATCAGCTGAAGGATATGAACAAATCTACAAGCTATAGAATATAACCGGAGTCCGGTTACCGGACAGAAGACACAACTACTGGTCGATAATTGCACCTGAGCTTCGGAGGTGCCACCTTGCATCATATGCATCAAGTGTGATGCAAATAGTTACATTCTTGCACCATACAACCATTATTAGATTGAATAAGCGAATAGTGATACTCGGTTAAAGTCGGCATGGCTTGCTTCGATTCAAAACGACTTTAAACAACGACCAAGGTCTATGTGAGACTGTTATCTCAGTTTGTTAAGTATTCCCTTGTTGGCCATGTCTTCTGCTTCCGTATGCATATAGAGCAGAACTTTACCACAACCATTCGGTGATCGATCAAGTAAACCGGAATCCAAATGTTTAAACAAGCCTAGGCCACAGCGGCCGTCTCGTTTTCTCGAATCCATTGAATATCCTGCCCAAGTGAAGATTTTGAGACGACAAAGATGCGAGGGAAGGGGGGAAAAAGGAAAAACATAACAGCATAACGAAGAAATGAGGTTATGGAAACAAACCATCTGACAGAAGCTATCCGAAAGCTGAAGTGCCTCTTCCCACTTGTTCACGGCGATGAGCCCCTTAATAAGGTGAATAAATGTACTTAGCTCTGGAACTCCGCCCTTCCTTGTCATGTCGGCATACAGTTCAAAAGCCTTGTTAACCTTACGCGCATGTGAAAGGCTCTCGATAAGGGCATTATATGTACTACAATATGCTGCAGATACTCGTGAAAACGATGTTATCTCATGATGAAGCTGTAAAGCCATCTCTAGTCTCCCGGCCTTTATAAAATTATTAATAAGCACTCTATAAACAGGAATAACTGGCAGAGATTTGGTTTTACCGACCTCGTCTAAGATCCCAAGAGACATTATGAACTCTTTGTTGAAACCTTCAATAACCTTACGGTAGCCTGCCATATGCCTCGGCCAGTATGTCTGTTTCATCTCTTCCAAAAGTTCATAAGCTTTGTCCAATAGGCCAAGGTTACAACAGTGGTTGATCAAAACACTATATGTGATGAAATTTGGAGCAACACCCTTGGATCCCATTTGTTCTAAAAGCTCGAGGCTTTCGTCGATTTTACCTGCTTTGCCGAAGCCATCAATCATTGCAGTGTAAGTCACCACATTAGGATAGCACCCCTTTTCTTCCATCATCAGCATAAGCTTAAAGGCCTCATCTGTTTTACCAGCCTTACATAGGCCATCGATCATTTCTGTATAAACGACGACATTGGGAGCGCAAGAATTTTCAAGCATCTTCGATAAGACTTTTAAAGCAAGATCCAGTCGTTTATCTTTAAACAACCTGTCGATTAATGAACTGTAGGTAAAAATACTTGGGCTAATGCCATGCTCAGACATTTTGGAAAACACCTCTTGTGCTTCGTCTAGCTTCCCAACCTTGCAAAATCCATCTATAAGAGCATCGTACACAACGTGGTTCGGCTTACAATCAACCACGGACATGGCTTCCAATAAGTCATGGGCCTCTTTGACCTTGTGAGCCTTGCATAAACCATCCACCAAAGCTCCATATGTAAAAACATTTGGAGCTTTGGTATCACTGTCGACCACTTTAAAATATAAATCTACATCCGGGATTTCCTCATTTGTGCGCATTCGAGCATAAATCTGACAAGCTTTTTCAATCTGTCCAGCTTTACAATGGCCATCAATCAAAGCTGTATATGTAACAACATTCGGAGTGCAACCTTTCGACAACATCGTCTCGAAGAGTTCATCTGCCTTGGACACCTTCCTTGCTTTAAGATAAGCATGTATTAGGGCAGTGTAAGTCACCACATTAGGGGCACAACCACCCTTTACCATCTCATCAAACCAACTACGAGCCTGTTCTATCAGACCAGCCTTACAAAAACTATCAATTAAAATTGTGTATGTATATACATCAGGTAGGACACCGTTCTTTTTCATTTCTCCGAACAATAGAAAAGTTTTTTCTACTTTTTTGGCATCACACAGATGAGCAATCACTTTGGAATATGTACTAGTATCGGGTATAAAGCCTTTGCGCATCATTTCGTGGATAATTTTACACGCTTTCTCGAATTTCCCAACACCACATAGACACCTGGCAAAGTTGCTGACATTGATCTTATTAAGTACAACTCCAGCAGCAAGCATTTCGGTATAAGCATTCTCGGCCAATTCTAGCACTCCTGAGCCGGGTAACTCCTCATTGCCACAAATGCCACCAATCAATATGTTATAAACCACATAGCCTGGTTGGCACCCGCATTTCATCATTTTCTTTAGCAATTTATATGCATAAGGGTAATCTCCTGATTTGCAATAAGCATGGACAAGAGAATTAAAAATGCTAGGGCTAGGATAACAGCCTTCCGTAATCATCATGTTAAGAATTCTCTTACACCGACCGAGCTGTCTCTTATTCAAACAGCCACAAAGCAAAACCCTGTATGTCACAACATTAGGAATGCATGAATTAGCACGCATTCTATTCAAAAAATCCATAGCTTCTTCAAAAAGCGAAGCTTCACACAACCCGGCTATCATTTTAGTGTAGAAAACGGTATCCGGCTTGAACTCTTCCTTCTCGATCAATGTAAGGGCCTCACTACATTGCCCTGTTCTACAAAGGGAATAGGCATAACATCTTAGTGTATAGCTATCCATGCGAAACCCAGCATCTGACATCTCTCTATAAACCAAATGAGCAGTGTCTAATCTATCAGCTTGCAAAAACACCTGAACCAATGCACAGTAAGTAGCTCTCGACGGCTTGTAGCCGAAATCCTTAAGCCTACCTAATTCCTCTAATGCCATATTCCAACACCCAGTTTTGCAACATCTCCCAATCAATAAAGTAAGCAACTTTTTCAGCACTTCCTTATCATCATTTCTAATTTCCAACAAAAATTTCTCTGGAATTCGGTCGTTAGCACCGGATTCCAACGAATCAATTAAAGAATTAAACACAGCAGCAGTATGACTATACCCAATTTGCCTCCCAGCCCAAATGAAAAACTTAACACCCAAATAAGGTTTCAGTTTCACCAAGTTCAAAACTTCAACGACCAATTTTTCATTGATTCTTTCCCTAAATTGCCTAAGAAAAATCTGGGTTTTGCTCCCAAACTCCCCATCGTCACTCAGAATGGCATTGGCAATCAAAACGGCGACGTCAGAGAACTTACCAGCATCGAGTTTAGGTTGTGAAGAAGGCTTTGAATCGGTCTTTATGAAGGCAAAGTCTTGGGATGAAACGGGCTCGACCCGTGGGTTGTTTTGCATCGGGAATGGGTCGTTTGGATCGATCAGGCCATCGAGATTGTCAGGGAAGAGGTGGAAATGAAGTGGGTGAGTGGAGAGAAGAAGAATTGGCGGGGAAGTTGGGGATTTTGAGAGGAAAAAGGCAGTGATTTCGAGTAAGAGAAGAGAGGGTTAAACAATCTTTTTCTCATTTGCTTTGGGGTATACTTTGGATTCTATTAGAATTCAGCAGTTAAGGGCTCTGGTGTAGGGTTTAAGATGGAGACGACGGCCATGGGGTTTAGGAAAACGTTAAGCCAAATATTAAGTCAATTTTAAAAAATTAAAATTAAGCCATCAGTTAATTCTCCAACTCTAGGATCGATTTCCTTTTAAATTGTATTCGAGTCGGATCGTATGAATATCGGATCAAGTATGATTTTTTATCCAAAGTGTTAGCTGGAGCCTCCCTAAACTCGAATGACAAATGAAGAATATAATACTCGGATCAGGTTTAAATAAGTTAATTAGCACGAATTAAGTTATCTCGGTAGTTGAAGAAATGATTGTTTTAGAGGTTTCGAGTTCGAGCATCAGAAACTGTAACAAGAGAAATTGAGTGTTCATTGTCATATGATTAAGAATATTTAAAGCAGATACTACTTTATAGGTTCATCAATATATTCAAATTATATATTTAAATATTTATTTAAAAATATAAATATTTAGGATTTTTTAATTTAGGAATTAGTATTTTAAAAAAGATTATGGAAAATAATGTAATTAATATTTTATTTTAAATATTTTATCTTTAAATTTTCAACTAATTTATAATTATGCGTTGAGTTTTTAGAATTTTAAATTTTTTATAAATCAAATTAATTGTGCTCATCGTTAGTGGTACTCAACAGTACTCGTCGAACGTAACAAATTCATCCTAGATATTAACAATAACATTCGTCAGAGATTTAAAACAAATAGAAATATATTATTATCAAATCTATATAATACCGAAAGGAATATCCCGAAAGGATATTCAACTTTTTGAAGATTTAATACGAACCAAATTACCTCAGTAATTAAATAAGTGATTGTTTTAAACTATCTTAGTGGTTCAAGGAATGAATTTTTTTTTAGAAGTCCCAGACAACATATGATTTATTATTTTTTAATTTAGATATTCGAGAAACAATGATATTTGCTTTTATATTACCTTTTATATTTAAAATAAAAAAATAATTATTGAGTTTCATCACAAAACTTTACAAGAAATCAATAAATAAAATAAATATAAATTTTATTAATTTAAGTAATCCATGAAAAACAGATAAAAAAACTACAAGATACAACCTACATGATTTTACACAGCGGTCGCGTTTTCGGTATTTTCATGTATATCGTGATTGTGACCGTCGCGGGCGTTATTGCGGGTGTAACGGGTAATTCGGACGGCGGCGCTATCGTTATTTCGCAGGCACTATCACGTTTTCGAACCGTGATTTGGAAACCTGACAAAATATGCAAAATAAAAATAAGTAAATAACTCAATATTTTCCTCCCACCCTATTTATTTTCTTTCACTTTCCTTATAACCAAACAAAATGCAAGTACCAAAGAGAAGAAAGTCAAACCAAGTACAACAATAAAACTTCACCTTTTGTATAGCCAATGTGATTAGGGTCTGAAAATAAGATTTGAACATGTCAATAGAAAATAAGCACAGGAATTCATTCATGGCATGGATTTATTGTTCAATAACCCCTTTGTATAAACCCTTCATCGCGAAGTTGCTGGTCGTCGGTTTTTTGTTCCTGCCGTCGGCTCACCCTAGTCGTTTTGTGGTGTAGGGTTTGGATCAATGTAGCAACTATGAATGAGAGATTTTTCCTACCAATATGAGCAAAGCTAACAAAGATGATATGAATTGCACCTAAACTTTACAGGCACCACATTGTACGTGATGATGTAACATGAAGAGTACACAATCCATGTGACGTAAAGCTGGCATGGCTCGCTTCCAATTCGAATCAACTTCACACCATCGCCACCGTCTCTGTGAGACGGTTATCTCGAGCATTCCATTGTTGGCCTTGTCTTCTGTATTCTTATGCATGCAACAAAACAAATACTCAACCAAGCAATTCAACCTTTACCAGAACCGCTCGGTGATCAATCGGGCAAACCGGAAAACCAAATGTTCATAAAAGCTTAAGCCGCATCAGGCGTCTCTTTTCCTTGAAGCCATTGAACATCCTGCACAAGTGAGAATTAAAAACAATAAAGATACTAGGAAAAGAAAGAAAGAAAAGACACGACTATATAATAAAGAATCACAGACAATAAAGGAAAAAAAACAAGTGCTCATGCACAAAGGTGAATAAACGTGCTTAGCTCAGGAACTCCGCCCATTCCTGTCATCTCAGTGTACAGTTCAAAAGCCTCGTTAACCTTGAGAGCCAGCGAAAGGCTCTCAATAAGGGCATTACATGTACTATAGTATGCTTCAGAAACGTGTGAAAATGATGCTATCTCCTGATGAAGCTGTAAAGCCACCTCCAGTCTCCCAGCCTTTATAAAATTATTCATAGGCACTCTATAAGCAGGAATAACCGGCAGAGATTCACTTTTACCGACCTCGTCTAAGAGCCCTTGAGACATTATGAACTCTTTGCTGAGCCCTTCAATGACCTTACAGTAGCCTGACGTATGCCTCGGCCAGTGTGTCTGTTTCATCTCTTCCAAAAGGTCATACGCCTTATCCAACAGGCCGACTGTACAACAGTGGTTTATCAAAACCCTATATGTGATGGAGTTTGGAGCAACACCCTTGGGACCCATTTGTTCAAAAAGCTCAAGACTTTTGTCAGTTTCTGTCTCTTCTCATCACTTCTACTAGCTTCTCTTCCTCTGAGCATGCGAAGAGAGGTTTCTTTTTTAGTTTCTGACTTCTATATTTTTGTGTTTTGCCCTTGGTGATAGTATGGAAATTTGGGTAGGATCGAAAAGGAAATATAGTTTAATTCTGTGCTTGATTTGATTGTTTTTTCAGTCTTGAACTTGTATGTATTTTTCATGTGCTGATTGATTGCAGAGAGTGATCTTCTGGGGTTTTTTTAAAGCTTTTTGCTGCTGTTTGTTCATGATATTAGGTTAAAAAAGAGTGAATTTATGGTTTGGTTAACTGTATTTCTTGTTCTAATTTCAGTATTTGTTCTGATTTTTCTCCTTGTTTTTAACTCATTAGCACAAAAAGTTTTAAATTATGTGTTTTGAGAACCTCTATACTCGGATTTGGGTGTTAGTGTTGGATGATAGTATGTGTGAGATGGATATCTTATATGTTTTTCTCAGTTTCCTATGTATTCGGAGGGTCCTCGGTGGATCTCATCTCCGTACTTATGTCTTGATATCCTTAGGAAACGAGTCATACATAAATACTTCGAGAAATAACAATTGGTACTTTCTTAGCTGCTGCTTGTTCTATGTTGTGGTAGATTGTCAAAGCTCAAACTATAAATCACAAAAGAGAAAAGAGTAATGCATTGACATGGTGTTTGAATTATGTAGCATTGACCGATCGTTTATATGAAGGTAGTTTTCCAGTTGTCTGGTGATATCAGTCTGTAGTTTCATTTATTTCTCTGTTTTATGTTGTATGTCAGGAATCAATGCTCCGACATCTGTCTTTTCTGAATTATGTACTCTTGATGGTTGTCTATGGAAGTGTCATGCTTTACCGAAGGCAAGAGCTTAAGGTATTTCTTTGCTTTGACACCTCTTCTTCTCGTATCAATTTATAACATTTGTCCTTTGTGTGACCAAGAATATTACAATGACTACACAAAGGCCCGTTCTTGCGACCGCTAACACCAGGACGAGCCTTGACAGCAAAGGTGGGCTCGGAAATAGGATGAATAGTTTGCACATTTCTTTGGTTCTCTTCTTGAACAACCAAAGTAAACACCTTTGAAATGGAAGGAAGATGATCCATTAAAAGAATTTGCCCCCTGATATGAGCATAAGACTCATTTAACCCCATTAGAAACTGAATCACCTCTTCTTGCTGCTGTTCAGCAATCATACGTTGCACTACTCCACAAGTGCACTGAAGACAACTACACAACTGCCGAATTGAAAATAGTTCATCCCAAACGTTCTTCAATTGGGTATAGTAATGGCTTACTGACATTTGATCTTGCATAAACTCACACAAACGCTTTTTCAATTGGAATAATCTTGGTCCATTCGACTGCTGAAAACGATCAACCAAATCCTTCCACATTTCGGCTGCACTGGTGTGATAAAGCAAGCTTGCAGCAATATCTTTGGAAAAGAAATTGAGAATCCAGGAATTGACTAAGTTGTTGGCTCGCATCCAGGCGTTGTATTGATCTACCATGGACGAATCAGGAGCTGTAATCGAACCATCAATGAAACCAATCTTGTTTTTGGCAGAAAGAGCAAGCATCGTCGACCTTTTCCAACTATGAAAGTTATCGTTGGAAAGAAGCTGAGTTACCAAAATCGTACCAGAATTATCAGACTGATGCAAATAATAGGGATTGACCCCATTATCGAAACTATCACTTAAAGAATTGACCATGGTGAAGCGGAAAAAAAAATAATCTTCTGATACCATATTACGACTAAAGAGCTCAAGAATGAAGAAATGTTTTTGCTTCATTATATGAAGAAGAATACAAAGATTGCTTATATGCATCTATAAAGTTACATAAAACCTAACTAATCGTAAGGCTAACTAACAACTAATTACAGTTAATATAATGTAATATATATCATAGTCAACAGATTAACATTCAGTTTAGAATATTGTCCATATTTTAACGGAAAAGTACGAGTTTGGAACATAATGAACAGTCGGGTGACAATTTTAACGTTGAGCAAAGAAATGTGACATGCTATCGTAAACGAGTGGAAGATATAGGTGTTGTTAGCTTTGTCACTTTTTATTCAGAAAAAAGTTATATTTTATTAATTATAAATAATATTAACGAAAAGTCATAAATTACCAACATTTTCCCCTTAAAGAAACATAAAGAAAATAATAAAATGGTAAGATAAATAAATACAAGGAAGATATTCTTTCTTGACACAGAGATAGAACCAAACACTCACATTTGGTATAAAATATCATTTGTCCAAACAACAAAGCAAAGAATAAAGTGAAGAGTAATAAATATACATTCTCCAAATGATTAAGAAGAATCGCAATATTCTTTCTTGACACACTCCTACACACATTGAACAAAGAATGAAGTGAATGATATAAGGGTAAACTACATACACCTAGAGCTGTAAATGAGACGAGACAGATCGCGAGCTACTCCATATTAACTCGATTAAGGCTCGATAAATACTCGGATCGAATGGACTCGACTCGAACTCGAGTTCTTAATGAGCTGAAACGAGGTACTTTATATTCGACTCGAAAAACTCATGAGCAACTCTAAAATATAATATATATTAAGATTTTATTTTTTTTAAAATAAAATCTTAATAATATTAACATTTATGTATTGAATTTTTTTAAAAAAAAACAAACTATAAGATTTTCATGTATTTAAGGTTCAGGTTCGATTTTGAGTTTGAGGCTTCAATCGAGTTAAGTTTAAGATTTTTTTTTATTTCGAGTTTTTCGAGCTGCTCACGAGCTTCAGTTTAAGATTTCGAGTTCAAGTCGAGCTTAAAAATTTTAAGCTCGCGAGTTTTCGAGTCGAGTCGAGTCGAGCTCCATTTCAGAGTTTTCGATTCAAGTCGAGCTCAGCAATATTCGAGGTCGACTCGGCTCGTTTACACCCCTACATACACCCAAGCACTCAAGCGAAGTATCCACCATCTTATTACTCACAGTGCGTCTGCGATTTCTGTGATGGAACATGTGAGAAATTCATTTATCATTGCTCTTGCGAATTGGACTTTCATATTAAATGTGCTTTGTTTACATTTAATATTGCTCAAAATACTTTGAAAGAGCTTCAGCATGTTTCCCTTGAACCCCCAATGATTTCCACTAAAAAGGATGTTAGAAAGTGCTTTGGGTGTTGGGAACCATTAGTAAATTATGCATATTTCTCTCCTAATTGTGGGTTTAATTTACACAAGAGATGTGCTGAGCTTCCTCTCAAACTGAATCATTTGTGCCATCGCAAGCATCCGCTTCTTTTGCAATTTGATAGCCAAGCCCTGTCCTGTAAGATATGCCAAGAAACCCAGAATAGAGGATTTATTTATGGTTGTTCACCTTGCAAGTTTGCTATCCACATTGAATGTGTATGGCAGCTATTACTGTACAGATTGTAATGTCATATTCCATGTGAAGTGTGTGATGAAATACAGTGGTTGGTATTGTGTTGTTTCACCTGAAAATGAAGATGAGAAACCTCTTGATGTTAACTCCATCACTAATATTCTTGAGAGGAACGACACCGGAGAAGCCACGTTAATAGAACATTTCAAGCATAATCACTACTTAACATTAAGTGACAAAAGCAGAGAGTTCGATGATAAATGTTGTGATGGGTGCATGTTATTGGTCTTGGATCCGTTCTATTATTGTTCTCGGTGTGAGTTCTTTCTTCATAAAAGTTGTGCCGAATTACCAAAAATGAAGAATATTTGGCTTCATTATTGCCAATAAGCCGCCCTTGTCCTCAATTCAGACGACATTTTCGAATGTGAACGATGCGATTGGGTTTCTAATGGCTTTGCGTATAGATGTAATGAATGTGGAAGTCGCATGTGCCTTCGATGTGCCACTCTTACTCCTGATTCTCTGACATGTCCAGGACACCAACATCCCCTTCTTTTCTATATAGACGAGGAAGGGAAGTGTAGTGCTTGTGGCGAGAATAGCGAGCCGATATATTGTTGTAAAGATTGCAAGTATTCTGTAGATCTTCGGTGTATTCGACTGCCAGAGAGAGTAAGACACAAATGCGACGATCATCTCCTTGCACTCACTTATCACGAGGTCAATGATTATTCAAAGCACCATTGCTGTGACATTTGTGAGCGAAAAACGGATCCAGAACTCTGGTTTTATCATTGTGCTACTTGTGATACTTCTGCTCACGTAAACTGTGTTCTCGGAAAATATCCATTTATCAAAACCTGGAGGGATCATCCACACCCTCTCACATTTGTAAGGAAGATAAATTCCTACCCAGAATGCACTCAATGTGGTAAGCCCTGTGAAGGTCTAGCCCTTGAATGTGCAGAGCCTGAGTGCAACTACATTGTTCATTGGCAATGTATAAACCCAGATGGCTCTGATAGCAGTTTATCTTCCGGAGACGATTCGGACGAGTGACAACAGTGATGTAAGTTTATATAATGTAATGCAGACACTTTTTTAGTTTGGATTGCAAATTGTTGTTGTCATATATTCTATCTCGATCATGTTGTCATTTTCTTCTTTGCAATGGCTGTTGGCTACTACGAAGTGAAGTCCATCGGCACCCACTCACCGTCATCGAGAAGATTAATTACCGTCCGGACTACGATGAATGTGATAAGCCTCGTGAAGATTTGGCCTCCCAATGTCAGGGTAGCACGTCATAAACTAGAAAAACAGAGTATGATCTTTGCTTTGTTACTTGTGATGCTTGCTATGTTTGTCCTTGTAACTTGGTTTTTCAACCTCTTAAGTTCGTATTGATTGTAATGTAATAATCTCAACTTTGAGTTGGTGTGGTTTGGATTGTCTTTGAGTATTGATTTCTAGACTTCTGTTGTTATTTGGGAGTGTGATTTTACTTGCATAACGATGATAATCATAAGGTTGTTTGTCTATCTTGTTGTGTAATCATGTCTTTATGTCTTAATATATCTTTTATCATCACATTTCTGTGTTATTACCACTCGAAACGGATTCGACTTCGATTATACGAAAATTAGAAAGACTTCATGTGCTGTTGGATTGCTGGTTCCGAGAGATCGCCGGTGAGATTATACGCGTTGCTGGTGGTGTCATGGTCGCGTTTTCGGATGTTCATGCAGGGGACCGGTCAGGTAAAGCATTGGCACTCTGGTAATAGTCGAGTTTGGAACATAATTCTATATTCTATGATTTCACATCTAAATCCTTTTTCGAATTAGTCTTTATTAATCTAAATATTTTACTTAATTCAATAAATATTCGCTTTAATATTTCATTCATTTTATGTTTAATTTTTTAGGCAAAGTACACAAATGGTCCCTTGACTATAGGGTATTGCTATATTAAGTCTCTCGAGTATTTAAAGTTACAAAAGCATCACCCGACTATTCATTATGTTTCAAACTCGTCCCTTTCCGTTAAAAAATTGACAAATATTTAAGTTGAATGTTAACATGATCACTAAGATATGACAATCGTTTGTGATTCTAGGATCTGATTTTATCATATCACAATTAGCAAGTTAATGTTCAGCTCATATTATCGTCAATAATTAACAAAAAGAGGCAGTTTTGAACCTAATAAATAGTTGAATGATCGTTTTGTAACTTTTAATAGTCGAAAGACTCAACAAAGAAACACTCTATAGTCGGAGGACAATTTGGTGACTTTTAATAGTCGAGAGACTTAATGAAGTAATACCCTATAGTCGGGGGATTATTTGTTTACTTTACCTTATTTTTTATATCAAATTTGAATTACATTCTTCCCTACTATTATAAAATATCTATGTAGCTTCAATTCTGATTTTTAACAACAAATTTACTTTTTTTATAATTTAATCTCTCAATTTTATATTTTATTCAATTTAAATTTTTTTACTGCAAATTTTATAAAATTTATTTTTCAAATCATTTTCTTGACTCATTTTTACTCCAATTAATATTGTCCCTAAGATGCCTTCTTTAAAAATATAAATATATTTTATAATTTTGTATGATATTTGATTTATTAAATAACATATAATATAAAAATATATAAATGTAAATATTTATAATTAAAATAGAATAAAAACTTGAAATTTAACTCGAAAAAATTTCAAATAAATTTGTTACATTGAATCAATCTGCACTCGAACATTACTATTATTTACAATTAAATTTGAACATAAATGTAAAAATTCGATTTGAATTTCATAAACACAACTTGAAATTTTTATAAATAAAATTTAAATCCTAAAATAAGTCCCGTCAACTTGATAAACTCGAAATTTTTTAATTCAATTTGATCAAACACTGGCTCTTACTTTTAAGAATTGAATATAATTGGTTAAAATGAATCAAACTTATCCAACATTCTTCTTGAAACATAGATAACACGTAACACACATTTGGTTTGGCATCAAATATCATTTGCCCAATCCCCAAAGCAAAGAATAAAGTGAAAAGTAATAAATGTATACTCTCCTGTCCAAATGATTAAGAAGATTCCCAATATTCTTTCTTGACACACTCCTAGCACACATTGAACAAAGAATAAAGTGAAAAATATAAGGGTAACCTACACCCCCAAGCACTCAAGCAAAGTATCCAAAGCAGCATAGATAGAGAGAGAGAGACTTTAAAAACCAAAGAAATATCAGTAAGATTGCTCACCATTCTCTCCTTTCTCCAAATTGTCTGCTTTTTACTTTGATTATTGGATTTCAATTTCGGTGCTAAATCACAAGGAGCAATGGAGGATTCAAAGAATTATGGGCATCAACATCCACTCGTGTTGTTGAATGAAGAGCAGCTGACGAGCAATCAAAGTGGAACAATACTAGCTGAGTGCTACAGGTGTGGGGAGAAGGTGTCAGCTCCATGTTTTGTCTGTGCCGAGGACTGTGGGTTTTACATTCACAAGGTATGTGCCGATGCACCTTTAGAGCTTAATCACCCTTTCCATCGCAAGCATCCTCTTCTTTTGCAAAGAAGCTCAATACCCTGGATTTGTGATTTTTGCAATAAACGGAGTGGGGATTTCGTGTATCGCTATCGCTTCTCCTCTTGCGATCTGGACTTTCATATTAGATGTGCTTTGTTTACATTTAATATCGCTCAAAATAATTTGAAAGAACTTGAGCATGTTGCCCTTCAACCCCCAATGATTTCCCCTAACAAAGATGATGAACAACTTGAAGATGTTAGAAAGTGCTTTGGGTGCTGGGAACCGTTAACAAATTATGCCTTCTTCTCTCCTCATTGTGGGTTTAATTTGCACAAAAAATGCGCTGAGCTTCCTCTCAAACTGAATCATAAGTGCCATCGCAAACACCAGCTTCTTTTGCAATTTAATAGCGATTGGCTCGCTTGTAAGATATGCCAAGAAACCCAACGAAGAGGATTTGTTTATGGTTGTTCAGCTTGTAAGTTTGCTATCCACATTGAATGTGTGTCACCGTCACCCATAATTGAAGATAAAAGCCATCCACACCCATTCTCTTTGCTCTTGAGACAAGCTCCATTCACCTGCGATGCATGCGGTACTGAAGGAAGTCATGCTGCCTATACATGTGGTACGTGCAACATTATGGTCCATAAAAAATGCATTTCATTGCCACGAATTATCAAAAGTAGGTGGCATGATCATCGTGTTTTTCACACATATTTTCTTCACAAAGAAGATTTTGAAAGTTTGAATTGTTTAATATGTCACGATGAGGTCAATATAGAGTATGGCAGCTATTATTGTGCAGATTGTAATGTCATATTCCATGTGAAGTGTGCAACGAAATTCAGTCATTGGTATTATGCTGTTTCACTGGAAATTGAAGATGAGAAGGCTCCTGACTCCATCACTAATGTTCTTGAGAGGAACGATGCCGGAGAAGCCACATTAATCGAACATTTCAAGCACAACCACTACTTAACATTAAGTGAAAAAAATAGGGAGTTCGATGATAAATGTTGCGATGGGTGCATATTACCGGTCTCAGATTCGTTCTATTATTGTAGTCGGTGTGAGTTCTTTCTTCATAAAAGTTGTGCCGAATTACCAAAAATGAAGAATATTTGCCTTCATTATTGCCAATTAGCCGCCCTTGTCCTCACTTCAGACGACATTTTCGAATGTGAAGCATGTTATTGGGTTTCTAATGGCTTTGCCTATAAATGTAATGAATGTGGACGTCGCATGTGCCTTCGATGTGCCACTCTTACTCCTGATTCTCTGACATGTCCAGGACACCAACATCCCCTTCTTTTCTATATAGAAGAGGAAGTGAAGTGCAATGCTTGCGGTCTATTTAGATGGAGGTATTTATATCGTTGTAAGGATTGCGAGTATTCTGTAGATCTTCGGTGTATTCGACTGCCAGAGAGAGTAAGACACAAATGCGACGATCATCTCCTTGCACTCACTTATCACGAGCTTAATGATTATTCGAAGCACCATCGCTGCGACATTTGTGAGGAAAAAACCGATCCGGAACTCTGGTTTTATCATTGTGCTACTTGTGATACTTCGGCTCACGTGGATTGCGCTCTTGGAAAATATCCATTTATCAAAACCGGAAGCATCTACAAACAAGAGGATCATCCACACCCTCTCACATTTGTTAGGAAGATAAATTCCTACCCAGAATGCACCCAATGTGGTAGGCCCTGTGAAGATCTAGCCCTTGAATGTGCAGAGCCTGAGTGCAACTACATTGTTCATTGGAAATGTATAAAACCCAGATGGCTCTGATAGCCGTTTCGCTTCCGGAGACAATTCGGACGAGTGAAGAAACTGATGTAAGTTTATATAATGTAATGCGGACACTTTATTCGTTTGGATTGCTTATTGTTGTTGTCATATATTCTATCTTGATCATGTTGTCATTTTCTTCTTTGCAATGGCTGTTGGCTACTACGAAGTGAAGTCCATCGGCACCCACTCACCGTCATCGAGAAGATTAATTACCGTCCGGACTGCGATGAATGTGATAAGCCTCGTGAAAATTTGGCTTCCCAATGTATGATCTTTGCTTTGTTACTTGTGATGCTTGCTATGCTTGTCCTTGTAACTTGGTTTTTCAACCTTTTAAGTTCGTATTGATTGTCATGTAATAATCTCAACTTTGAGTAGGTGTGGTTTGGATTGTCTTTGAGTGTTGATTTCTAGACTTCGATTGTAATTTGCTGTGTGATTTTACTTACATAATGATGATATTCATAAGGTTGTTTGTCATGCAATAGTCTCAACATGTTTCTTACCTTAGAAAAAACGTTAATCTACTCTAATCTATCGCTCTTTCATCTTGTATTATATTGTTGCTTGCGAAAAACCGAGTGCATGTTGTATCAACCGTTGATCAATCTCATTTTCGAGTCGTATATTTTGTTACACATGTACTTTGTGAGGCTGCAAGATGAACTTGTTCAACCATATAATTGGCTATTGTTCATTGATGGAAGACTTTTATTAATAACTTGTTGATGCTTTATAGTAGAATAAGTAGACTCTATTGGTTTGACAGTACCCTAAGAAAAAGGATGAAATTGATGAAATTTTTAAATACGAATGGTTAAATTTTTTTAACTATTTAAAATTAAGATCAAATTAATAAAATGAATTAAGATCGAAATATAGAAAATTTGGAGACTACAATTGTTATTATACCAAGTAACGACAGACTTACATTTCATTTTTAAAAGAAGAGTTTGTAAATGAGTGTTTAAATTATAACTTTTTAAAAAAGGTAAACTACATCATTTTTTACTGAACATAACTATCTTTATCCTATTTCATTCAATGTACTTTTTAATTTTTTTAGTTTACTTATTAAACTTTCGAATTGCTACTATTTTGGCCACTCTAAATTATTATATTATTATTTTGGTATGATGTGACATTTTTTATTATTATTTAATATAAAAATAATTTAGAATATAAATATAAAACCATACGGTGGTATTTCCCTGTTTGCCAATGTTGGATGCCACCATTAACCGCCATAGATAGTGATCGTTCGGTACCTGAGTTCATGGGTCGCTTCATCTCGACCCCTTGAGTTCGGATCTGACCTTCATTTTGTTGGAACATACTCTGAAATCCACGAATAGAGATCGAAAGTGAGAAAACTGAAATATTTCAATCGAGATTCACGTGTTTTGAGATATTTTTCTAGTAAAACAACCATCAGATTCAAACTCAGCATGTCAAAGCGAGTTTTTTGATACAATTTGGGATCAAACGGTTGTCGATTCCAAAGGGCGACGGTGGTCGACGACGACGAGAAAGGGTGGTGGTGATGACATAGATGTTGGAGAAGTGAAAATATTTTATTTTGTTATTTATTTTAAATTATTTTTATATTTTAACAATAATAAAAAATGTCACATCATAGAATAATAATAATAAAATAATTTAGAACAGTCAAAATAGTAGTAATTCAAAAGTTTAATGATTAAATTGGAAAAACTGAAAATATATTGATTGAAATAGAAGAAATAGGGGTAAAGTTGTGACATGCGTCGTTTTTCACGTCAAATAATTTCATTCCTTCTCAAATAAAAATAAAAATAAATAAAGGAAATTAAATTAAATAGTATAGGAGAAGTAAGATCGATCTCACATGGACTAAGAAGACTAATAAATTTCTTCGTCCTTGATTATAGCCTAGGCGTGATTTGCGTAGAAAGTAAATAAGATGGGGGATTTGATGGTTTGAGAATAAAAAATAAAATTGAAAAAATTGAAAAGAAATTAAAGAAGAAAAACAATTAAAGAAAATAAAGAACGGTAAATAAAAGAAAATAAAATTTGAAAATTCATTTGATTTAGACAGCCTTGGGTAATATTTCTGACTCAAATTCTTGGGATCATCAAAACGGATTTATCTTTCGGGAATTACGTTGGCTACCTCGTCAAGCATGGGCAATCCAAGCGACTAAGTTGTACACCGAATACCCAAGTCAATCTTCGATTTCGATTTTGGAAATTAATCAAACCAAGACAATCTTGATAATGATCAAGATCCAAGCACATTTGCAACCAACTTGGACAAGATATTTCAATAATCGCTTCCCCGATCTCAATTCCCACTTAACAAGGCAATCTTGTTAAATTGTGTTCATAGGAAGTCCTTTGAGCCGATCCTTCCTCCCACATATATAATCGCGACAATAATCAAGACCGAAGTCAATCTTTAGTTTTGAAAAATTGTTTTGATTTTATAAAAATAAGCACAGAGAATGAGAGAAAAATTTCGAAGTAATTGAAGTACTATTCAATTCTCTCGTCATAATTGAGTCATCACTTTTACCCGCAGCTAAAAAGGTTAAGAACAAAAACTTAAAAATTAAAAACAAGAAAAGTAAAGGGAAAGAACTTTTTATAAAAGAAATAAAGAACGCTACCGAATGATCCAAATGACTTATCCGAGTTGAGTATTTATAGCCTCTAAAACCCTAGAAAACTTATGAAATAATACAAATAAAGAACAAGAGACCATTGATATTGCTGTCTGGAATTGCTTGGATCGGTTTGCTCGAGTCTCAAATGATCCGAGCCCTGGATATAACATCGAGCAGGTACTTTAAAGTTGTTGTGTTGTATTTTTCGAGTTCAGAAACAACAAATATTTTTCTGATTCCTGGATATAACAGAGTTCCTCTGCAATGCTTATGTTGAACATATTTCCGATTTACTGTTATGCTTTAGATGTTCAAACATTGGAAGTTTTCCCACTGCTTGAATACCTTTAGGTTGTCAAATGCAGGGCATGTTTGTACTTAAAGTGATTTGTGTGTGTGTATATATAACCGTATGTTATAAGGAAAGGAGTCGGATTTTGGTGAATCGGTATGGCGATATGGTCTTCCTGGGGCCCCGAAAACTTGGACAACTTAGAAAAAATTGAACATACCATGCACTCACACACAAGTCCGAGTTTGATTCAATCTGGTTCCATCCATTTCAAATCTGTACATCTTGCAGAAGTTCGATTTAATCATTCAGTTGACATATACAGTAAAATTTATCGATCTTCCATATGTGGTGAAAGGGATGGATGTTTCCTTTAGTGGAACATTGAGCCACATTGAAGCTACTGCTGTGGAGAAGCTTAAGAACAACGAATGCACCCCTGCGGATTTATGCTATTCGCTTCAGGTGAATTACTTAAGAGGCCAAGGATCTTTATGTCTGCATCCTTATGTATTGCTTTCGACTTATACAGTAAAAAGTTGAAGGAAACTTTGTTTGCAATGCTCGTGGAGATCACAGAACGAGTGATGGCTCATTGCGACTCGAAAAACGTTCTCATAGTTGGCGGTGTGGGTTGCAATGAGAGGTTGCAAGAGATGGTGCGGACATGTGTTCTGAACGGGGTGGGAGATTGTTCGCTACTGATGACAGGTACTGCATTGACAACGGGGCAATGATAGCGTATACGGGTCTCCTTGCCTATGCTCATGGGTCCACAACAGCACTCGTGGAATCAACATTCACTCAACGGTTTCGGACTGACGAGGTGCACGCGATCTGGAGGGAGAAACAGGAGTCCGGTGACTCTAGTGGTCTTGCAGACGGAGGAAATTAGATGCAAGTTGCTATTAAGGTATATATTTCCTCAAACTTCTGCTCATATCAATTGTGTTATTGGAAAATAACAATTCATCAAACTCGGGAGCATCTACGAAGAAGAGGATCATCCACACCCACTCACCTTTGTCGAGAAGAGCTACTACTACCCTGGTTGTTATAAATGTAGTAAGCCCTGTGAAGATTTAGCTCTCGAATGCACACAGTCTGGTTGCAACTATATCGTTCACTGGGATTGTGTAGCACCCGATGATCTACGACGACGAGGATGGGGTGGTGATTATTCAGATCAAATCATACCTGGAAACTGATCCTTTAACAAGAAAATTGAAGAGTGGAAAACAAAGTGTGGTCCTTGTGAAGATTTTAGTCCCCATTTTTCTCTAATTTTTCACAATCACCATTTCTCTGTTTTTTTAATCACCAATTATAAATAGATATAAGGGACAAATGGTCCCGATTATAGGATACTACTTTATTGAATTTTTTTGACTATTAAAAGTTATAAAATTGTCCCCCAATTATAGAGAGTTGCTTTTCAACTATTAAAAGTTATTAAATGATCATTTGACTATTTATTATATTCTAAACTCATCTTTTTACATTAAAAAATTAATGATCATCTGAGTTGGACTTTAATATGCTGACTGAGATATGATAGTCATTTGAGATTATGGGAACACATTTTATCATAATTCAATCAACATATTAATGTATAGTTCAATCTATTTTCAAATTTTTAATGGAAATGACGAATTTGAAACATAATGAACAATCGAATGATATTTTGTAACTTTTAATATTAAAGAGACTCAACAAAACAAATCATTATAGTTGAAGAACCATTTTATAATTTTATTAGTCAAAGACTTAATAAAATAATATCATATAGTCAAGATATTAATTATATACTTTACCCTAGATATAATTATAGCCACCAACCGTGAACCAAAATTTCTATTAAATTAAATAATGTGTGAAGCATAGCCTTACAGAAAAGATAAGAGACCACTCTATCAATCTCACATGCTCTCTCTCTCTGTCACTTATGATAATGAAAGAAATTATATACTAACATATTTGTTTAAATAGTAAGTAGTTTGATATTATTTAAGTAAGTTTTAAGTTCGAGTTCTTGTGCATGCTGAAAATTTCCGCTAAAAAATTCACCTACAAAAAATTAGATATGTGATCCGAATCGATTTAGATTAGTCAATATAAATCCTTTAAAATCGAAAAAAAAACTATACGAAAGATAGCAATAAATAGATATAATTATAGCCACCAAACCGGTACCCATCGTTGCTGAAATAAATGAATCTGGTGAAGAAAATAAATCCATCCATACCCAGTGGATCTTAGTCAATAACAGCTATTACTAGAACTACGAAAGTGGTACAAAATCTATGTGCAATTATATTTTCTAGGGTAAATTGCATATTTAGTTATCAAATTATCATTTTGGTTTCGGTTTGGTCACTCAATTGTTATTTTTATAAAATCATCACTAACGTTATATTTTGGTTTCATTTTGATTACCGTTACTAAAAATTAAAGGTAATGCTGATGTGTCACTATAAGGTAACATTACTTAATCATTGATTTTTTTTAAAAAATTAGACCACTATAAGGTTATGTTTTGGTTTCATTTTGATTATTCGTCATTAAAAATTAAAGGTAATGCTGATGTGTCAATATAAGACATTATCAATCAGACCACTTAATTATTTAATATTGTTAATTAAGTCACGTGTCGTTAATATTTGACGGAGGAGTTGAGATAATAGTTAAAAAATTAGTATAATTACATGTATAATTACATATTTGTTTCTTATTACTTACATTTGATCCTAAATTAATTGAATGTGTAAATAATGATGACCAAATGTATAATTATACTAATTTTTAACTATCATCTCTCCTCGTGCATCAAAATTTTCATTGATAATAATTAAATAATTAGGAGACACTAATGATAAAATTAAAACAACAGTGTTATTACTACTACTGCTACGAAATGGTACAAAATCTGTGAGCAACTATTATATTCTAGCAATAAATAGATATAATTATGGCCAACAACTTCAGACCCACCAGTTGGACTCTTCTATGTAAGCTAGCCTCCCTATCAACCTCACATCCTCTCTCTCTCAGTCGCTTGTTATGTTGTTTTTCCATTGAAACTTTGCTCCCAAAATCAAGATCTTGCTTTATTTATTTGAAGAGAAAGATAGAACACAGGGAAGAAGAAGAAATGGAGGACTCAAACAATTATGGTCATCAACATCCACTTGTCTTGTTGAATGAAGAGCAGTTGATCAGCAATCAAAGTGGAGCATCAGCAGACTGCTCCATGTGTGAGGAGAAGGTGTCTGCTCCATGTTTTGGCTGTGCCGAGGGCTGTAGATTTTACCTCCACAAGGTATGTGCCGAAGCACCTTCGGAGCTTAACCACCCTTTCCATCATAATCCTCTTCTTCTTATGAAAAAAGCACCTTATAGTAATGAAGCATACATTTGCAATTTTTGCGATAAACCCGGTGAGAAGTTCGTTTATCATGGCTCTTGCGAATTGGACCTTCACATTAAATGTGCTTTGCTTACATTTAACATTTCTCAAAATAATTTGAAAGAGCTTCAGCATGTTGCTCTTCAACCTCCCACTAAAAGAGATGATGAACGACTTGAAGATGTTACCAAGTGCTTCGGGTGTTGGGAACCATTAGCCAATTATACATACTTTTCTCCTGATTCTGGATTTAATCTACACAAGAAATGTTCCGAACTTCCTATCGAATTGAATCATATGTGCCACCGAAAACATGCTCTTGTTCTGCAATTTAATGAGAAGGAGCTCACTTGCAAGATCTGTCAAGTAACTCCACATAGAGGACTTGTATATGGCTGTTCACCTTGTGAGTTTATTGTTCATATTGAATGTCTATCACCATGTCTTGCTCCTGTCATCGAATCGATGCATCATGAACATCCATTCCGTCTGTTTCCGAGACAAGCACCGTTCATTTGTGATGCATGTGGTACAGGGGGAGCTTACTCTGCCTACATATGTTGTACATGCAACATCATAGTCCATAAAAGGTGCACTTTATTACCACACATCATAAAGAGCAAGTGGCATGATCATTGCATCTTTCACAAATATTTCCTTCTAGATGATTTTAGAAGCTCGGACTGCATTATCTGTCACAAGGAGATCGATCCAGAGCACGGGAGTTATTGTTGTTCGTACTGCAATGTTACGTTCCATGTAAATTGCGTGACGGAGGACAAACATTCATATTTTATCTTTCCATTGGAATATGAAATATCCGATGAAAGTTCAATCACTGTTTTGGAGAGGAATGATGCTGGAGAAGCTACAAAAATAAAACATTTCATGCATGATCATAATCTAACCCTTGTTGGAGGGTATGAAAATAGTTGTGATGGGTGTATGTTACCTATTTCGGATTCATGTTACCATTGTTCAGAATGTGGTTTTTGTCTTCATAAAGGCTGCGCTGAATTACCTCGGAAAAAGCATGTCTGGCATCATAGTTGTCGAAAACCTCTCGTCCTTATTTCAAACGAAGTTTTCAAGTGTGAAGAGTGTAGCCTGTTGTGTAATGCCTTTGCTTATGAATGTTGTGAATGTCTGAAAAAGATATGTCTCCGATGTGTGATTACTCTTACTCCTGGTGTTCAAAAATGTCCAAAGCATGAGCACCCCCTCTTTTTCTACCGGAACTACAAAGGGCGTTGCAATGCATGTGGAGATACAACATGGGGTGCATTTCGTTGTAAGGAAGATGATTTTGTATTGGATCATCACTGCTTTTCGCTGCCAATTACAGCTCATCACAAATGCGATGAACATTTGCTTTCACTCACCGATCATGATGATAATAGTTATTCAGAAAGTCATTTTTGTGATATCTGTGAAAAGAGTCGAGATCCGAATAACTGGTTCTATCATTGTGCAACGTGCGATACTTCTGCTCATGTCAACTGCGTTCTTGGAGATTATCCATTCATCAAAGTGGGGAGCATCTACAAAGTTGAGCATCATCCGCACCCGCTCACCTTTGTCAAGAAGAGTTACTACTATCCTGATTGCAATGAATGTGGTGTGCCTTGTGAAGGTTTGGCTCTTGAATGCACAGAATGCAATTACATCATTCACTGGGATTGTGTAGATTTAAATCTGTCGTTTTTGAGGTTTATGCCGCAATTATTCGGAGCTAATCACACCTGAAAACCGTCCCTTCTACAAGAAAAATTAAGACTGGAAAACCGAGTGTGGTCCTTGTCTTGTTGCTTGTAATGGTACCAGCTGCATTTGTCATTGTAATTTGGTTTTTTTTCTCAACATTTAAGTTCCAAACAGCTTTTCATTATGTATTTGTTGTTGAATATATGTTGTGATGTTTAGTAGAAGTGTTGAATATATGTTGTGATGTTTAGTAGAAGAGAAGTGTGAACTATCTTTCACAACCTGTTCTATTTTGTTCTTTCTTTTACAAATTTCAAGTGCTGATTGCATTGCTTTGATTATTTTTCATTTGAAAAGGACATTATCTTTTTTATGTTTGAGTTTCAATAAGGAAATGTATTTAAATAATATCTTTAGGGATGATCATAGGTCGGGTCAAATTTTTAACCTACTCAAATCTGACCCAAAAATTAAATCCCTCCATAGGTACTTGATCTGACCCAAATTTAGGAGGGTCCATCTGACCCGAAAGTTAACCCAATTTTTAAGGTCAAAACTCACACTTGATTTAACCCAATATATATATATTCATTTTTATTAGATAAAATAAGGACATAATTGAAAAAAATATAGAAATTGTATTATTGCAATTATTCTTAAATATATAGAGGATAATTATAACATTATGTTGGATTGATTTTTTTCATCTTAAACTCAAATACAACCCGACCCAAAACTGAATTTTCAAAACAAAGTTGTTCTACTAATGCAATGGAGGATTCAAAGAATTATGGCCACCAACATCCTTTGGCACTCTTGAAGGAAGACCAGCAGCTGATCATGGACAATCAAAGCGGACTAGTAGCTGACTGCTCCAGGTGTGGGGAGAAGGTTTCGGCCCCATGTTTCAGCTGTGTCAATGACTGTGGGTTTCACCTTCACGAGGTATGCGCCGATGTACCTTTGGAGCTTAATCACCCTTTACATCACGATCACCCTCTTCTTCTTAAGCATATAAAGCCATCTTCTTGCATTTGTGATTTTTGCGATAAAGATGGTAACAAGGTCATATATCGCTGCTCCTCTTGCGATCTTGACTTTCATATTAAATGTGCTTTGTTTACGCTTGACGTTGTTCAACATAACTTGAAAGAGCTTGAGCATGTTGGCCTTGAAGACCCTTTGATTTCCACTAAAAAAGATGATGAAGAACTTGGAGATGTTACTAACTGCTTCTGGTGCTGGAAACCATTAGCAAATTATGCATACTTCGCTCTTGATTCTGGGTTTAGTATGCATAAAAATGTGTTGAGCTTCCTCTTAAAATGAATCATGTGTCATCGGGAACATCCGCTTGTGCTGCAATTTAATACCGAACGGCTATCTTGTAAGATATGCCAATCAACTCAACGAAGAGGATTTGTTTACTGTTGTTCACCTTGTAAGTTTGTTATTCATATTGATTGTGCATTTCCACCACCTGTTGTTGAAGAGAAAAACCATCCGCACCCATTCACTCGACTTCTGAGACGAGTACCGTTCGTTTGTGATGCATGTGGCACCGAAGGAATTTACGTTTCCCATGTATGCTCTACTTGTAACATCGTAGTTCATAAAAAGTGCATTTCATTGCCCCGCGTCATCAAAAGCAAGTGGCATGATCATCGCATTTTTCACAAATATTTCCTTCCTGACGATTTTAGAAGTTTGGATTGCATTATTTGTCATGATAAAGTCAATTCAGACCACGGAAGTTACTCTTGTTCATATTGCAATATTACATCCCATGTAAATTGCGTCATAGAGGACAAAGATTCATATTTTATAGTTTTAGATGAGGATGATGATGAGTTATCTTATGAAAGTTCAATTAATGTTTTGGAGAGGAATGATGCTAGAGAAGCTACAAAAATAAAACATTGCAAGCATGGTCATAATCTAATGTTAAGTTCTTCCCTTGGAGAGCATGAAAACAGTTGTGACGGTTGTATGTTATCGATGTCGGATCCGTTCTACTGCTGTTCGGAATGTGATTTTCTTCTTCACAAAGCTTGTACCGAGTTTCCTCGAATGAAGCATGTTTGGCATCATCCTTGCCAAATACCTCTCCGTCTTATTTCAGACGAAGCTTTTCAGTGTGAAAAGTGTTGGCAAGTGTCTAATGCCTTTGCTTATGAGTGTTGTGAATGTGAGGAAAAGACACGTCTCCAATGTGTGATTGCTCTTACTCCTGGAGCTCAAACATGTTCGAAACATGATCACCCCCTCTTTTACTATAGAGAGTGTGAAGGGCAATGCAATGCTTGTGGCAATGATGATATAGTAGCTGCATTCCGTTGTAAGGATAGTGATTTTGTGCTAGACCTTGAATGTTTTTCTCTACCGATCACAGCTCATCAAAAATGTGATGAACATCTTCTCAAACTCATCTACCGTGGTGGTAATAATTATCCAGAAAGTCATTATTGTGATATTTGTGAAGAAAGTCGAGATCCAAATCGTTGGTTTTATCGTTGTACACTATGTGATACTTATGCTCATGTCAATTGTGTTCTTGGAAAGTATCCATTCATCAAACTCGGGAGAATCTACGAAGAAAAGAATCATCCACACCCACTCGCCTTCGTCAAGAAGAGCTACTACTACCCCGATTGCGGTGTCTGTGGTGAGCCCTGTGAAGATTTGGCTCTTGAATGCTCGAAGTCCGGATGCAACTATATTGTCCACTGGAATTGGGTAGCACCTGATGATCTACAAGGATTTTGTTTTTATGATATGTAGTAGTAAGTACTAATTTTTTAAAATGGCCCCTTCTTTTGTAGGGAAAATCAAAGAGTGGAAAATAGAGTTTGGTCATATCCTTGTACTGGTACTAGCTACATTTGTCATTGTGATTTGGTTTTTTCAACATTTGAGCTCAAATTAGCTTTTCATCATGTACTTGGTGTTGGATAAATGTTGTAATGTTTAGTAGAAAAGAAGTGTGAGCTATCTTTCACACCTTGTTCTGTTTTGAGTTTCAATAAGGAAATGTATTTAAATAGTATACTTTTATGACTTGAAAGTACAAATAAGTACCTAAACTATACTTTTTTTTAATTTAGGTAGTTAAATTATTGTTTAAAGTAAGAAATTAAACTATTATATTTAATTATTTTTAGTCCTAATATTTTCAGTTAGAAAATTATTTTTCGACATTGACAAATCATACAAAATTACGTATTTATTTTTAACTTAAAGAAAAATGACTATAATTTAAGAATTTATTTTGATCAAAAAATAGTTCATACTTAAAATGATTACATATGATCAAACAATAGTTTAAATGATTACATATGACCAAAATGATTACATATGACCAAAAAATAATTTAGATAACTAAAGTAAAAAAATAACATAATTTAATTACTTTTTTTAGTTTGAGCCTATTTTTGTTGTGTATAAATATTAAATGAAAATTTTGTTCTCCCTTGATAATCCGGATTCGAATAACATAATCTTTAACCCGGGTTCGAATAGCGAACCTTCACATGTAAGTGAGGTTAGATCCAAGTCTTTTCTAAAAAAATATATTACATGGAAGAGTTGGAAGGCAGAAATACTAATAAAGCAAACATGAGAAATACACAATTTCACAACAGCTCAAACCAGGCATTGAACCAATAGGACTCAGTATGGTCCAAACTGTGCAATAGCTTAAGCAAGAATGAGAAATAATAAAAGCATCATTGGATCCCATCAGGCCACTGCCAACACAATTTTGCGGGACTTCAAAACTACAGCTTCTACTCGGGGGATTCGACCAGGGACACCTAAGGTTTAGCTATATTTCAATCTCTTTTTAACTCTGTTATATCACAAGCTTCGTATGTAACTTCGTTTTACACGTCTGGTATGGCAACTCATTCTCATCGATAACCGCCACCATATGGCTGTTGAGAATAGCCACCGGAACCCATCATAGGGTTATAACCACCAGGCATTCCAGCTTGTGGTTGCATGTAGGGTCTCTGCCCCATTCCCGGATTCATGCCCATGTTGTTCATCCCCATTCCTGGATTCATTCCCATGTTGTTCATCCCCATTCCCATGCCCATAGGTTGTTGATTCATACCACCATAGCCTCCCCCCATGCCCATGCCTCCAGCCATAGGATTTGCTGGAGGTCTAAAAGTGTTAGCACCAGAACGACCAATCCCAGAACCCGATCCCATAGCCTTACCCATTGTGATTGTAGATGTTACTGCATTTGGGGCGGGTTTTTCCATCCTCTTTTCCTTCCGATTAAGAGCATCAAAGTCCACTCCGATATCAGCCAGCGGATTTGTTTTAGCTGCATACAGAAATAAAAAGGAAGTTAGCGCATGTGGAAAGGAGCTACTGCATGAGATTTTTTTTTTACAAAGGAATAGTTGATACTTACGTCCAGATATGTTCAGATTGACTAGTCCTCTGCTCAATGTATCAGCCCAAACTGCTGACTTGGTCTCAAATTTATCCTTCGATAGTTGTGAAACTGGAACTATACCAAGTGCTCCTGCCGATGGAGTGACTGTCTGTGGTGCCATTGAAGGCTTTGAGCCTGGTTGTGACATTAAGCCACCCAGGAGATCATTGTTATTTAGAGGTTGAGCAGGCATGTGTGAACTGACAGGAGCATTAGAACCTATCTGAGAGTTGAAGCTCCCATTACTGCTTTGGGCAGCACATTCTGGGATCTGAGGGGCCATAGACACGATCTGTGGGTTGAAATTACCATATGAATTATTCGAACTTGATTGCATGGTTTGGGCATATGGACTGACATTTGGCTGTGCAGGTTGACCATATGGACTGGCATTTGGCTGTGCAGGTAGACCATATGGACTGGCATTTGGCTGTGCAGGTTGACCATATGGACTGGCATTTGGCTGTGCAGGTTGACCATATGGACTGGCATTTGGCTGTGCAGGTTGACCATATGGACTGGCATTTGGCTGAGCAGGTTGACCATATGGACTGGCATTTGGCTGTGCAGGTTGACCATATGGATTAGCATTTGGCTGTGAGGGTTGGCCATAGGGATTAGCACCAGATTGTGGCGGTTGGCTATAAGGATTAGCACTTGGCTGCACAGATTGGCCATATGCGCTAGCACTCAGCTGTGCAGGTCCAGAAGGTGGAAAAATATCTGCCAGTGTATTATTTTCCTGATTTGGAGTTGACAATTCCTGAGGCAGAAACTGGGGGTTTGTTGATGGAGGTTGTACGGTGGAGACACCAGGTGCAGAGTAAGCATTGGCAGAGAATGAATCCCCAAAGTCGAAGTTTGCAACTGTCTCGGAATTTGCAGGTAGTTGAGGAGCTACTGCATTTTGGTTTGTTGCAGGTTGGAAAGTAGGCATGGAAGTAGAAATTTGTTGTGCAGCTGGGGCAGTATCAGTTGAAGGGACGGCTTTAAAAGGATTATCACCAAATGGATCATTAAAACCCTGAATCGAGAACAATATCCCATAAATATAGATGGCAACAAAGTAAATAGAAAATACACATTGAAGTCCACTGAACTCAAAGAACGAAGAAAAAGTTCAGAGCAAAAAAGGAAGGGATGAGAAAGAGGAAATAGAGCAAAATCTTTAACAAGAGCAGCAATTATATGAACCATATTACCTGATTTCCAAAACTAGATGCCGACTGATTAGCAGCAAAGGTGGACATAGCACCGGAGTTTGCATGGGCATCAGACTCGGTAGAAAGGGTTTCAGGTGTAACTGGCACGATGGCAAATGAATCAGACAGAGCGTCCAACAAATCCATTTCAACATTGGTTAAAGCAGTGGGAACAGCAGGAGCAGGGACAGCTGCAGGAGCAGCAGTTGGGGCAGCTGCAATTGATGAGAGAAATAGATGAAAAATTAGTTCTAGTTATAAGGGATAAGTCACCAAATAGTCTTTTATGTCAAGATATATACATTTTACACAGAGAAGAAAATACACTAAAATCCACCACATGAAAAATAAATAATAATAATAATAAAATGGAATGTGAAGCAACAGAGCATGTCAAACCAAATATTTGGACAACTCAGAAAAATACACTTCCAAGGATGATATGTCAAGACAAAAGAACAGCATATTAACTAAGTTTCATAATAGATTAGCAAAAGGTCACAGTATTCCTTGTGAAAGACAACTATAACCATCCATTTAATACATTGGAACATAAAAACCATGGAATTCATATAGTATTTCATACCTGAAACTGGACTGCGGGGATCAAATTCATCAAAGGCCTCGACTTGTTGATTTGGAGGAGAAGCTGAATTAATACGATCAGGGGCTGCTTGGTTAGGATTATTATTACTAGCAGGAGGAGAAGCCCCGGGAGCAGCTGCTGCAGAAGTTTGGCCAACCCTATAATGAAAGATTTTTTCAGTATGCACCATCAAACAACACACAATTGCAAGCAACATGTCTCTGTAACTTAAGCTGAAATGAAATACCTTCCACTATGGACAGGACTCTGAGTCTCATTCCCTGCTTCTTCATAACTAGGAGGAGCACCAACATTTTGTTCAGAATGCTTCCGCTCATGCTGTCTGCACAAAAATATATTTTTTCCAGAATTTTAGAAACTAGAAACCAATAATTACTGTCTAATAAAAAATTTCATTGACTGCAATCAAAGGTTAGACTAGCTGATTCACGAAGACATCCTTATGAGGTGGCATTCAACAAGCCTAGAATTTGAATTTCAGCAGTTGTAACCTCTTCTGTAATCTCTAAGCTGTGATCTCGATTCAAAAAATCAACTAATACAAGTTGAGACTGCATAAACACATGGTTACCTTCCATCCTGAGAGTGAACATCAGCTCTAACACCGCTGTCCCTGCAAAGAAGATGATCAAGCTAATTACATTCTTCATGTCAAGCACACGAAAAAGGTATGAACACCATACTTAAAATTCACAAGGATCAGAACTATTAAATCTGGATGTGCTACTTGGTGAAGTGGCATCCAAAAGCACATTTGGATAGAAAAATTCCAAGAAAAGTTGCCAAGTAAATGCACCATTTAAGAATCCTAATCTAGTGCAACAGAAACTACTAATATTACACCTTGAATTTTGAATTATTTTCATGACATCCAAAAAAAAGGGGAAAAATACTTCCAACAGAAAATTGAGACATGGTTAACATAATTGAATCAAAATATTAATGTTTCGTAAAAGAATATAACAATGTAAATACGTGCATACCGAGAAGAAGCACCATCCTCATCAAAAGTATGGTCTCTATCAGAGCTCCTAGATCTTGTGCCATATTGATAATCATCAACACTTGTACTTCTACCTCGGTAGTCATCATCCCTGTAACCATCTCTACTGTTGCGGTCTTCATAATCTCTGCCATAACGATCTCCATCGCGACTGTTTGAATCCCCATATCTGCCATACCGATCATCATCTTTGTAGCCATACTCCCGGTCTCTTCCATAACCATTTTGATCATCATAATCTTTGTTTCCATAATCATATCTGTCACCATATCCCCCTGAACCTGGTCTATACATTCCACCTGTTGATGTATTCCGAAACCTGTAGAACAAAAAAGAGTACATCATGGAAAAATTCAACATCCCCATTAGTTTATATTCTCATATCAAGACTGAAACTCCGAAGCAATATCTTTAACTAACTGCTAATGGGAGAAGAAGAGTAATCATACAGATCCCACTGATCATGAGCAAGAAATATTACTAGAACCTTTTCTATTTGACTTCCATTTCTGTGCTAATATTCTCAAAGGTTTAAGTTTATTAGTCAAGAAAGGAAGATAAAAAGGATGTCAACTGGTGAACAGATGAACAAGAAATATCCCACAATTGCGAAAATTCAATTGCACCTTTGGAGAGAAAACTCATTTTAATCAATCTCAACCAATTTTCCATGGACATATTAATGATGCTTCCAATCGAAACTGACATGTAGCATGCACATGTCTCTCGTTGCTATGGGAACAACAGCTACCACATAACACATTAAGTCTCCTACCAAAGAGAAAGTGCATCTGCATATATGCATGTTCAAGCATACATGTACTTGTCAAGTTGAGAGCACAAAGATAAATACTATTGATAACCATACGGATGAATGTAATGTTAAAAGCAGGAGAGAACCAAAAGAACCACCAATATTTTCCAATGCTAGTGTTAAAACACTTTTATTTGAGAGGATGATTAAATACAGCAACAATATTGAAGCATAAAGGCAGTTTGCCAACTCACTTGTCCCTGTTAGCTGCAGCCTTTTGTCTTACTTCAATTATTCTTTCTTTATCACTTACTAGGGCCACAAGGCTCTGAGATTTTTTTTTGACATTGTTACCTTGGTCCCTTCCACTAGAATCAATATACTGAAAATTGGACAAGGTCTGACACGGAAAGAAATATTTAATTAGAATTTAGACTGAAGCATTTAAGTACAGTAAGCTGCAGATTGTATCATCAATAGTGTCGTATAGAATTAAGAAACAGAAATTACCGATACTTGATAAGAATGTTCTCTTATGTCATCTATGACTCGCTCTGATCCATTAGCAACAAGATATTCCAGAACTGTCAGAGCCTGAAGATCATTAAAGCAAAAGCCTAACTAAATTGGTACAGTTTATTTAGAGGGAAAGTTGAAGAAACATAAAATATCCTATCAAAAAAAAAACAAACATAAAATATATACAGAGAAAGAGAGAAGAGAAATGTAGTACACAAAAATTGTGTTAGAACACAATGACAGTTTCAAAATTAAAGATGGAAATTTAGTAAAATGATAAATGCACGCAATTAAATGAGATTTCCATACGATCTCTTTTACATGTTGCAGAGAAACAAATTGATAATGAATACAACTAATTTGCTGACCTTGTAGACATGACGCCAATTCTTTCCAGTGTCACTTAGACGTTTCCAGATTACTGTCATGATCATCTGATACTCATGACTGCATGAATATTTAAAAGAAAATGAGTTCCCCTGTAACATGGATAGAATGAAAATCATACATAACTTGTCTCAAGCTTACTAGTTTCTTGTAGCCATTGCAATATCTGCAAGAAGTGATCCATGAGGACCCCAGGGCTCATTACTGGTGGCATCAAGAACCTGAAAGACAAAAAGAAAAAGAATATTATTTCATTAGGATAAAGCAAATTTTAATAGTATTACATATAACGTTATAGATCATTTTTGTTCAAGGTTACTATACCTATTTAAGTTAAATACTTCTACGTACAATCCCCTCCTTACCAAAAGGACAAAAAATAAGTATGGAGAAAGTAGTTCGGAACCAATATGTTATATCAAGATTCAGCTCAACCGGCATGTTAGGCACTTAATCAAGATTCAGCATGTTAGGACAAACTTGATAAGACAGGCAAAGGATGTAGAGAACACAGGTCAGTGAGCTCCTCTCCCAAACCGAATTGGCCGCTTGTCCAAATTATACTATTCTGACCCCATTCGTAGTAGTATTTGGTGTCATATGTAGGCCTTTGACCGGTAGGGAACTACCCCTCATATATTAAATATCAATTAGGCTACAAATCCAAATACTTAATTAATTTGAAATTAGCTCGCACACCTATGTGCACCAACTCTTCACTTTTCGTGGAGTACAGGTGTACAACACCATGTCTAATGCATATACAAATATAGGTATGGGGATATGACCCTCCATGGACCCTCCAAATACATGGAAAGCTAAGAAAAAAATGAACATAACAATGTCAGGCACATAACCATATCGTATCCAACAGTCACAACCAAGCCCAATTAATATAATCTCACACTTTGTTCTCTTCATTTTCTTCCATCCCATTGCTAGAACATGAAAATTATAAAATCACAATAGCACTTTAATAATAATGCTAAATAGCCCCAACTTTTTAGTACCTCAACAGGGAATCAGATATCTGGATAGTTTATTAAACCCCCTTGTCTACCAACCATTGATACTTACAATTATGCAACAATAGGTTTTTAAGTACTCAAATGAACAGTGAACTTTCTAGAGTATCTCTTACCTTCTGCTCTATTCCAGGAACTTTTAGAACCTTCTTATTAACCTCTCTCTTGCTGCAAGAATATAGAACAAACGATCATTTAGCAACTAGTTACAGCAAATACCGATAATAAGGAATACAAAAAATTGATTCAAAAGCAACTAAACTGGCAGTAATCATCATTCGTAGGTAAAATATTTACGACCAAATTATTTCTTTAAACTATTAGATATTTGAAGAAAAATAAATAAATTACATCATATAAATTATAAGGGAATTAGTATCTAGTAATACACTTACAGTTCTCTAACAGTTTGACCGATAGCCTTCTTCATCCTCGCCTGAGTTCGAAATGAAGCAGCCTGTCACACTAAAGAAGGGGAAAAAATAAAGCTTAGACCATTTTCAGGCATACAAATGTATATAATTAAATACATCCAGACAAATAAATTAAAATCATTACAAAGAAAAGTCAAAGAACACAAAAGCGAACAATTGAAGACCGATCACAGGAAAAATAATGACAATTGTCATAGACCTCTCGGTTTTTGAGTAATCCGAAAGATCCCTAAATCTTCAAATATTCAAAACAAGAATCTTTTACGAAGAAAAACAAACAGATAAATAAATATGAAAACGAAATTTTCAGAACAATTACGAATTCAAAAAACAGAAATCAATCAAAACGAAGTGAAATTCAGCTGAATCTAGATACATGAAAATTAGGTCTATGAAAATGAGATATCAAAACGAAACTACAAATTCAAAAAAAAAAATAGAATCAGATCTGAAAGAGAGTGAAATAGAGAACGAAAATACACAAAAAAGAGAAGAGAAATCTTAACCTGATTGAATCTAGAATGAAAATTTAAGATCTGACGGCAAAGAAATTGAATGAAATCGATCGTCGCTGTTAGAGCGAGGAAAAAAAATTGAAGAGAAAATGGGAAATTTCAATAGAAAATTATGCGACGAAGTCATTTATTCACATTAGCAATTGAGAAAAAAATAGTAAATTGCAGAAGTTCAAAACTACCCCTTTTATTCATATTTTTAATTAACTTTTAAGAAACTATAATTAATTTTTGAAAATTAATATTAAATATTTATAAGTTGGTCAGGATAATATTTGTATATAATTAATCGATTTATATTTGTGTTCATATAAATATAAATCTGTATCTATAATATACAAGAATCAAATGGTTTTTATGGTAAAAAATTATTGGTATTCTTGAGGATCAGGGTTTGAGTATCATCCGTGTCAGAGATGTAAGCGTTCAATATCAAAAGATTAAAAGCTATTTTTGAACAAATATTATCTTATACTTACCTCAAATTAATAAAAAATATATATCTACAACATATATTATAAGTATAATTTTAGATCAAATTGTATAATATTTTTATATTTTAAATTTTTTCTTTACTTTATCGTCTTAATCTTTAAAAATTTTAACTAATTTCCGATCACGACAACAAAGATATTATTTATCACGAAAACAAAATATATTTTCTGTTAAACACAAATCTAACGTGACGTATATTTATAAAAGGATATCAATTTCAAAAAAAAGTACTATATATGTTAATTTTAAAACATATTATTTATGATATTTTAGTAAAAATACATTTAATGTAAAAGAAATATTGTAAATAAATAAAAAAAATTAAAATATTTTAGTTTTTTAGCTATTATTTATGTGAGTGGTTAAAATTATAATACAAACTAAGTGACCTCAGTGATTAAATTTTTATTATATGGGTAATTCATAAAAAAATTATGAAAGTAAAGATTAAAGCTGTAATAATTTGTCTATTTATATTCTTTTAGTATTTTTTTTTTAAGAAAAATTAATGCATCATCATCAATTAATAAATAATTATTTTTTATTTTAATAGTTTACTTATAATAGTTTTCTCATTTATCCACTAATAAAACCTTAACAGAGCCCCATTTTTGTAATTTCATAAAATAAAATATAAAAAAGACAGCTCAACCTACACAAAATAAAACTTTTTTTAATTAAACCAAGTATTGCATTTAGTATTTTATTCTTTATTTAAAAAAAAGAATCTCGTAATGCAAAGCTTTTCCTCCACATTTCGAGTTGTAATAATAGTGAGAAGATGCTTTGGAGGAATATATATGTCTTTACACTCCCACCTGCTTTTTTATTTGTTTATTATTATTACTTTTCATCTTCATTTTTCACCCACAATCATTATTAATCCACTTGAATTTAAAATTGTATTTAAGTAAAATTAATTATCTAACCAGACCCGATCTAAGCGTTTCGATTAAGTCTAGACGATCATAGAACGGATACAGATTCATATTTAAAACATTTTCAAAATACAGTTCGAAAATTAGAATACAGATATTAGAGTGGCGTGAAATAACCACCAGAAAAGCCATAAGAAATTTCAAGTCCATAATACGATACTAAATAGAAATCAGTCACCGAAACATCCATACAATAATCGGATAAAGTTTCCATCGTTGAAATATAAAATATCGGTAAAACATTATATAAAGATAGTAACAAAGTACATGTCACCAAAATATATCAAAAAGGGACATATAGTCAATACACGATTTTAAAATAGAGTCAGAGGTAAAACAATCACAAATTTCATCGTAATATGATCTCACTTCCACTCCAGAATCATGATGGGTTACAACAGACCGGACAAATGTTGATGCTTTTCTTTAACCTGTTGACAAGTCAGGCACCTCGCCACGAACTCAGAAATATCCATTTTCATATCAACCCAATAGTAACGTTCCTTGAGATTCTTATACATATTGTCTCCACCAGGGTGCATAGTATGAGGATTATTATGGACTTCCTGAAAAATAGTCTGCCTCAACTCACTATCCTTATGAACACAATAGTGGCCACGGAAACACAGAATACAATCCTGATCAAAACTATAATTTGAGCTCAATCCTTGCTCAATATGCTCTATCAAGGGAAACAATGAGTTATCCAAAAGTTGTTTAGCCTTAATTTCCTCAACTAAGGTCGGTTTAACTTGCAACTTTGTCAACAAACTTCCATCTTTATATAAACTCAACCTGGAAATAAGGCTCTCAGATCCAAAATCATCTTATGACTCAAGGCATTAGCCACCACGTTAACCTTACCCATATGATACTTGATCTCAAAATCGTAGTCATTCAGAAGTTTCAACCAGTGACACTGCCTCAAGTTCAGTTCCTTTTGAGTAAGTAGATACTTTAGACTTTTATAGTCAGTAAAGATATGACACTTCTCCCCATAGAGATAGTGTCTTCAGATTTTTAGAGCAAAAACAACGGCAACTAACTCCAGATCGTGGGTGGGGTAATTACACTAATGCGGTTTCAACTGACGGGACGCATAAGCCACAATTCTTCTATCTTGCATCAGAACACACCCTATCGAGAGTGAGAAACATCACTAAATTAAAAAATCCTTCCCAGACTCGGGTTGGATCAACACAGGAGCTTCAGTCAGAACGATTTTCAATTTCTCAAAACTAGACTGTTGAGCTTGGGACCAAACAAATGGAACATTCTTCCTTAGTAGCTTCGATAAATAAGTCGTGATGATAGAAAACACCCAACGAAACGATGATAGTAACCAGCTAAGCTTAGGAAACTATGGATATTCAAAACATTATTGGGTTATTTTCAGTTCAGAATAGCCTCCATTTTATTCGGATTTACTCGAATACCTTCAGCAGAGACTATGTGCCCAAAAAGTCACCTCGCTGAGCCATAACTTATACTCGCTCAACTTAGCAAACAACTTATGCTCCCTTAAGGTTTGTAGAACAATACTCAGATGCTCATTGTGCTCTACCTCAGTTCGAAATACACCAGGATGTCGTCTATAAAAACGACTACAAAATGGTTCAAAAAAAGGTAAAAATACCCGATTCATCAGGTTCATAAAGGTGGTAGGGGCATTGGCTAACCCAAATGATGTCACTAGGAACTCGTAATGCCCATATCGAGTACATAAAGTAGTCTTAGGGATGTCAAAAATCTTCACATTGAGTTGATAATAACCATACCTCAAATCTATATTTAAAAATATGGTAACACCTTGGAACTGGCCAAACAAATCATCAATTCTAGGCAGAAGATACTTATTCTTAACTGTAAGATTGTTCAGTTTTCGATGGTCAACACAGAGTCTCAAAGTCCTATCATTCTTTTTGATGAAAAAACTAAAGCACCTTACGGTGAAATGCTAGGCCGGATAAAGCCTCTATCCAACAACTCTTGAAGTTGGACCTTCAATTTCTTAAGCTCCTTTGGGCCACATGGTAAGGGGTCATCGAAACTGGAACCAAACCATAATAGACTTTAATCTAGAACTCAACCTCCCTATTCGACAGTACAACAGGCAATTTCTCATAAAAGAAAACATCATAAAACTCCCTAATAGTCTGAATTCTCTCCAAGTCAGATTGAGAACCCTAGTATTTAGAATAGAGGCGAGGAACGCTTCAAAACCTTTCCTGATCATCCTTTCAGCAACCAAAGTAAATACAACATTCGTCAAAAAACCATGATGTTCCCTAATTAACACTATCCTCCTGTCATCAAGAGTCTTCAAAACAACTCTTTTGGTATCACAGTCAACATTAACCTGATGTTTATCTAGCCAGTCCATTCCCATAATTAAGTCAAAGTCTTTTAATGGTATCTCCAATAGGTCGAACAAGAAAAACTCCCTATAAACCTCTATAGGACACCCTCTAAAAACTTGGTTCAATTGTACGGAATGGCTTAACGGACTCTGAATTGTTACGACATTCTCGATAAACTCTATAGGAATATTAAGTCCACCAGACACATAATACGACAAGTAGGAAATAGTAGAACTAGGATTAATTAAAGCAAAATAAGAGACTGAATGAATAGTAATAGTACCTGCAATCACGTCGAGTCTATCACGGTCCTGTCGGGCTCTAGTTACATACACCAACACAGGTTGCATGGTCTTTGTCCTAGTTGTACCCCTATTCTGACAGATGTCTTCTACTGACTACTACTCTCAATTGGAGTCTGAACAATACTCTGAGTATGAACAAACATCTGAATTGAAATCTGAACAGTATGAGCTAACTCCGGACAATCTCTCAGAAAATGATCACCATATCCACATCTAAACAAGTACCCGTCGTCTTTCAACATTCTACCAAGTGATATTTTCTACAATGCTCACAAGCGATCAATAATGGTAACCTAGAGGAACCACCATGGCTAGAAACTAGAGTCATCGATGTGACTGACGTTGTAGACCTAGAAGTCGTACCACATCTCTGAGAAGATCCATCACTACTCTTCTTATTGGGATGTGAAGACGTGTCAACTGAACCAGAATGCCTATTAAAATGATATCGATCCTTACTACGCTCTAAACCCAAATGCTCTAACTCCTCAGTAGTATTGGCTATCTCAACCAAGTTGTCAAAGTTCATCTCTCGGTGAGTAGCGACCCGATTCTTGATCTAATATCTGAGTCTATTCTCAAACCTCAAACATCAATCTATCTCATAGTCCACCAACCTAGGGGTATAGAAACTCAATCTAATAAACTCGATCTCATAATCCATGACATACATTCTACCCTACTGCAAATTTTGAAACTCCTAACGTTGCTTTTGCAAGTACCTCTCCCCGATATAGCGACTACAGAAATGCTCATTGAAAAAATCTCAAGTCAACTGATCCGCTAGAATACTCCTAGAGATCGAACGCACCATGTCAAACCTTTCTTTCAAGAGTAAAGCTAACGCTCCCTACAGTTTCTACTAGGGCATCGCTCCATCACATTCATAGTCCTCTCTTTATCATCCAACTAATACGTTGTGTCGGTCGGAGGTCCCCCATAAATACCCTCAAACAGTACTACCCCAACAACCACCAAAGAAGAAGATATATCCATAACAGACATATTAATATGGGC